CATGATCAATTTCACGAGCTCTTTCACAATAGATTTATTAAAAGACATCTCGTTAAAGTACTTTCAATGTTCTTAAATAATAATAACAAATTATATAAAACAATTTTTATAAAAACAACAGCATATAAACGTTAAAGGGGAAGTGAAGCACTCTTCTTTGTAAATTGATTTCCACCTTAATAAAAAATAAATAACAAATTTGATTAATTTAACAATTTTGAAGAAAAAGGTAAGTTTTACTATAGCTTTTAGATCTAGGATGCCACCATTGTAGAATATCGCTGTGTCTGGGGGTTGGTTCTGTTCCCTCAGCTGAATAGATACAGTGAAAGTAAAGGACTGAATACGGAGACTGGACAGCCTAATTTAACCCAATTATTGAAGTCATGGACGTGGCACTATTGCAAATACAAGCAACAGATGTGTCCAATATATATATATATATATATATATATATATATATATATATATATATATATATATATATATATATATATATATATATATATATATATATATAAATTATATTTTTATTTTTCCCCCTTTTAATTAATGATCATTGATGCATTTTGTTCTGGTCTCTGTATTATGCTGCCTGACTGGGTTTCAACCAGTTTCGATACGGTCCGATACTGACGAAATGGGGGTGGGTACTTTCACTTTTCACTACTACTACCCTCACCTCTTTTAGAGTTCAAATTAAACTAAGATCGGTGTTTTTCACAAGTTTTTCACATGGCAGGTTTTACCTCCATATATGTAGAGAGATCGAGTTAATCGACTTGAAAAGGGAATATGTGTTGACTTAATCCACAAAGATGTGACGTAAAACAAAGCGTAAAGTGTATCATTTTAATCGTTGCATTGGTCTAAATGTAAATCCCCTCGTCACGCGGTGCTGCACCAGCGTGAGAGAGTGAACCAAAGCACATCAAACGAAAGGTATTAAAAAAAATAGAAAACGTATAAATCTTTTTGTATACATTAAACACAATGTTGATGCTTGTATTTGCACCAGCTCTGCGATCCACACTCACAACTTCACGCATTGTGTTAAATTATGACTGTTCACTGTATCTGTTCAGGTAATGGAATAAAAACCAACCCCATGACGTCAGACACAGCAACATTCCTAGATGTCGGTGGCCTTGCGCTAAAAGCTATAGTAAAACATGCTGTTTTCTTCGAAATTGGTTGAGTTTGTTTAATATGTTTTTCTTAAAGTGGAAACTAATTTACAAAATAATGTAAACTTGACTGACAGCTTCACTTTAAAACTGATACACAGAATGAAGCGCCTAGGCCTAATAAGAGCTGATCAGAAATCTTTTTTTTATATCTAATATAATAAAGGCATTTTGGTTCTTCTGTTACTTTTAATAAGATTTCTATTTTTTATTTATGAAAATTGCACTACCTTTTCCAGTATTACAGATAAGAGAAAGGCAACACCCTGCCACAGACCCTCCTTGACAAAAACACACAAAAGTGAATATGGCCTGAATGACAGGGGGCGGAGCCTATGCTGTAAATGTATGCAAATGAGTGACATCACATGAAACTTTGTTGACAAACTAGTCATTCAGTTTTGAGTTGACCTGCACCCTCTTAATGAGATTATGATGAGCTTTTTGGCAATGCTACGATTTAACTAAACTACATGTTAATGCAATTCTTAGATCTTAATAATGTTGTCAAGCTCATAATCGCAGCAAAGCGTAATCGCATTAACATAGGTGCTGAATTTCATCGAAATAAACTGGCATGTACACACCTAAAATTACATAAATGCAATTCTAACCAAATTGTGAATGTGTTTATGAGGGTAGTTAGAGGGATACAGGCGAACAAGAATATGTTTGGCATCTGTACATTTGGTGATGTATAGATGTGGATTGCGCTTTCAAAGCAATTTACTGTCTCACACTTGATCCTCCATTGGCACTTTAAATCATATGACACAGATATCATTGATTTAGAATACTGCAATGACACTGGCAATGACACTACTATTCACAGCCTATGCACAGAACTTTTGGCCCCCTTATCTCCAGTGGAATAGATATATGAATGGAAAACTCCTGTGGACTCATTTAAAAGTCGAACAAGTTCACACTGTTCACAAGTTCACAAATGTTCGGAGTTTACATGTTCAAAGTCTCAGCTCTTCACCCTTTAGAAAAGGCTTATTAAGGTCTCACTTTTTTTTTGGGGGGGGGGGGGGGGGGGTGCATAGGGAAGCACCTAAACATAGATTCTGGATGCACTTGGCAAAAAACCAACACCATAAATCTTTTGTAATAATTATTTGTTTTATTAAATAATATAAAGTAATTTTCTAAGACTTTTTAAAATCTAACTCTAATTATATTGATAAAAAATAAAAATCTATAAAACAACCACAATTTATTCACAGTAAAACGACAAAAGTTAGGGTTAGGGTTAATAGGTGCCATTTTAACAGCTTTTCTTTGACAGCACAGTATTTCAGTGCAAGCAACAGGAACAACTATACTACACAGTAATATCCTGTCTGAGCATTATTTGAGCAGACTTTGTTTTTTCCTATGAGCATATGCAGTTCTTGCACAGATAAATAAATGTGTGTACATCAGTAGAATATTGAGCTATTTGGAACTTTGACTGCACTCTGCTGCTCTTGCACTTTGGTCAGCGCTGCAACAAACTGACTTTGCACAGCACAAGCCATTGAAATGAATGGGTTTCATACTGTAGCACAACACATCAACCATGCAGTGACTACAGCTGGACGGAGAGTGAAACCAGTGTGCTGAACACTGTTGGAGAGTGTAGTGAAGCATAGCCATTTTTAAGCTCATTTTTCAGCTGTCTTTTTCTTTCAGACAAAAATTAAAAATTTGGTGCATCCCATATTAGGCATGAATAATTTAAAACAGTTCCTAATAATACACTCACTCGTTCTGATCCCATTATATACACACTGGCTACTTTACTAGGTTCACCTGTCCAACTTATCACAAAAGCAAATTCACATGGCAGCAACTCAATGCATTTAGGAATGTAGACATAGTCAAAACGATCTGCTATATCAGAATGGGGAAGAAAGGTGATATAAGTCACTTTGATTGTGGCATGGTTCCATTATTCCTGCAGAGTGGCTGGTCAGAGTATTTCAGAAACTGCTGATCTACTTTTCTGTGGGCGCAAATGTCTTGTTGATGCCAGAGGTAAGAGGAGAATGGCCAGACTGGTTCCAGCTAATAGAAAGACAGTACCTCAAATAACCCTTTCGCTACAATCGAGATATGCAGAAGAGCATCTCTGAACGCACAACCCGTCCAACCTTGAGGCGAATGGGCTACAGCGACAGAACACACAGGGTGCCACTCCTGTCAGCTAAGAACAGGAAACTGAGACTACATTTCACACAGGCTCTCCAAAGGGTTGCCTAGTCTAAATCTTGATTTCTGCTGCAACATTAGAATAATAGGGTCAGAATTTGGTGCCAACAACCAGAAAGTATAGATCCATCCTGCCTTGTATCAACAGTTCAGGCTGGTGGTGGTGGAATAATGGTGTGGGGGATATTTTCTTGGCACATTTTGGGCCCATTAGTACCAATTGAGCATCGTGTCAACGCCACGGCCTAGCTGAGTACTGTTGCTGGCCATGTCCATCCCCTTTATGACCACAGTGTACTGTACACATCTACTGATGGCTACTTCCAGCAGAATGATGTGCCATTTCATAAAGCATGAATAATCTCAGACTGGTTTCTTGAACATGACAATGAGTTCACTGTATGGCATCCACAGTCACCAGATCGCATTCCAATAGAGCACCTTTGTGATGCGGTGTAAGAGATTCACATCATGATTGTGCAGTCGACATATCTGCAGCAACTGCAAGATGCTATCATGTCAAATTGTACCAAAATACCTAAGGAACATTTCCAGCACCTTGTTGAATCTATGCCACAAAGGATTAAGGCAGTTCTGAAGGCAAAAAGGGGTCCAACGTGGTACTAGTAAGGTGTACCTAATAAAGTGGGCGGTGAGTATGTGCTATGTAGACAGGTGTATGAATAGTAATGCTGGTAAAAAAATAAAATAAAAAAATACAGCAATTCTTAGCGAATAAAATAAATTATGGAAATCGAGTGTACATGGGAGTGAATACGTTGGCTCTGAAAATGTAAACCTTTAAATGCCTTTGCGCACATCTAAACATACTCAGTGGTACAGTTTAATTAAATAAAACCTCCTATTCACTGCAATTTATAATAAATAAAGCATTTAAGCATTGAAACTTCCAGGAACAAAGACCTCTTACATGTCTGTGATTTGATTTCTCATGTCAAGATGACCCTTAAAACCTACAACAGCAACTCTGTATTTGAGTGTATCGACAGTGCATTCTTTCTTTCCTTTTGTTGCATTGCAAGGTCTTCAAAATCAAGTGTAACTCCTCTCCTCAAAAGTTTAGCGATGTGTCATAAGGTCTGAAGAGGTTTGACTCGCACTCTGTAATCGCTGGTTTCCAGGGTTCTGTGAAAAGACTAGTGGGCAATGGTTTCACCCTGTTCAACTCTGGACCATTCAAGCACAAACTCTGAAGTCTGCTCAGCCCCGGAGGAGTTGTCATGGCCACTAAATTCAGCTTTGTGCTGTCATACATTACCTACTCTCTAATGGCCAGAAAACAAAAGGAACAATATCTCAGCGAGAGATGATTTTTCCGTTCGTTTTTCAGCAGATGAATAGACTTCTTTGGAATATGCGCCGTCTACACATCTCACTAAATGCCCTTTTATGGCAGAAAAGAGGAGCTCATGATAAATCTCCTCTGACAGTAATCTTTGTTCCTCAGGAAAATATGGATATCTTCCACAATAATGGAACATTTCTGTACTCAACTTACAGATCTTAGATGCAGAGAAAATTACATGCATTATACTCACTGTGAGGCCTACAATAATCTCTACAAAGAGGAGAATGGTGTTTGACAGGTGGCAGTACCTGACATATATACCATCCACAATGCCCACTGACGCCTCTCGTGCAGGAACAAAGGAGCCCAGCTGTGCCATGATGGTCACCAGGGCAACCTGTCGAATGTAGGAGCTCTTGCCACCCATGTTGGGCCCGGTGATGATCATGGCTCGCTTGCCGTCCCCCTGAAGACAGCAAATTACAAGATTAAAACAATGATCCTCGAGGAGGTGAAGCATATGCAGATGCTAATATTCTGGCTGATTGTTCGAGTGTCTATGATAAAGAGGGATGGAGCTCAAAGGTCAGATCTATTTCAATTGTCTGGACGAAAGAAAAGAAGACAATCAGAGGAGACACAGCTCAGTTATTATCAACTGGTACAAGCAGCAAAAAATGCCTACAGTATAGTTCAAATGTTAGTGGTCAGATTTTAAACAGAATTTCGGTAACACTTTATTTTGATGGTTCATTTGAGTATTAGTAGACTGTCTGCTTAATATCTGTTGATACTGCTCCCTCAACATTTCAAGATTTAGCGGATTATAATGGCCCGTTTCCACTGACTGGTACAGTATGGTACGGGTCACCTTTATCAGGCTTGAGTTTCCACTGCCAAAAGGTTACCAATGGGCGTGGTGTACGACAGAAAGTAAAGCTGGACAGGTCATTCAGATATCATATGTGAAGCACTTCTCACAAATCAGATGCTCTATATACATAAATACTTGTGTATAAATGTTAATTTCGAACTTTTCTATCAACATTATTTGAATATAACTGCAAATCACTAACAGTGCGAAATAGCCTACTGTATCATCTGCAATTATATTAAATAAATAAATAAACGCAACATATATGAACACATACAGACCCTTACAGTCTCTGATAGTTACCAATTAAAGAAAAACTACACACAGCATACATTTAGTCATCATTTAGGTTCAAAAACAACATGAAATATTGCCCACAGTGAGTGCAAACCTCTCGTCTCTATCTTTAATCTTCACCAGCACAAGTAACTTCTGTTAGAAAGTAATTCCATCATTCCGAGTTCATAGTAGTTATACATGGCAGTTTGCTAATGTTTTAGGTTGGTTAGGTAGAATCATTTGCTCCTTCTCAGTTTTTTCGCGCTTTACTCTCGTGTTTGTCCGTTTCTGAAAGGATAGGATGTCAGAAGCACTTCAATAATCATGCGTACGTTATTATCATCAGCTCAAGAAGTTTGTTTTTTTAAATATAGACGAACGGCAAGCGATCGTGAGCTCCCTAGAGAAAGTGAAACCACTCTAACTTTTAGAGGGGCTCGCAAATTAAAAACAGGACATGGCAGATTTTAATCTTTTTGGCTTCGTGGTTGTACATCAGGACAATGACAAGGTTTGTTTGAGCTCGGGTCGACCATGGCTTGTTATTATATGCATATAGTAATGCGATGTAATGTCTCGGCTGTGTATTTAAAAATGTTGGTTTCTTTGTTTTCGTTCTCCTGCTTGTGTATGCGCGAGTGAAGCTTTTCTGTAAACCAATAGCGTTCAGCTGCGTGTCTAGTTTTGCCTTTTGGAACCCTTTTGTCATGCTAGGTACCCTTTGCAAGGATACCCAAAAAGTGGTAAGTTATGGTTCGCTTTTAAGTACCTTTTGACAGTGGGAACGGCCATAAAAGCTTACCGAACAGTATTTTATCACTTAGTGGAAGAAATGGGCCATAGGAAACTTTGCAAGTACATGTCAACAATCTGGACATCCCTAATTTCAACATTTATTCATTCATACGTTCACTTTCTTTTCGGCTTTGTCCCTTTATTAATCTGAGTTCGTCACAGTGTAATTAACCGTCAACTTATAAAGCATATGTTTTACGCAGTGGATTAATTTCAACATTTAATAAGCATTTAAATTATATGAATGTTACTGCAGTATAAAAACAAAATCATCCCAATAAGCGTCACTTATTTCGAATTAAGGAAGAACTGGAACAATTTACAATATAGTGATGTGCAATCTGATAAACTACACCTGTGGTAAGAAAATGACATCACATACAATATGCATAAAAATTCACCTTGACACTAGTTGGACAAAAATAAATAAATAAATAAATAAATAAAAACAAATAAAATCTTCAAAAATGACTTAAAAAGTAAAGGTCTTGCATCACTTGTTGGCAGATGCCATCCACTTATTTATCTATATAGTTTGCAACGACATTCAGATGTTTTTATTTGTGGCTCAGGTGTCGCAATTTGGAGCAAAAAATTACCAACTGTTGAGGGGTTTTAAAAGGAATGTTTTGAGTGAATGGACATAAGACAAGTGCTGCGAAGAAAAGTATGGTGACCCAGCAAGACGGCTTCATTATTCAGCCTGACTCACGCTTTGAATGGAAGCCCAATGATTGGGTGGGTGGGGAGAGAAAGAGAGAAAAATAAGTGACAAAGGTATTAGAAAACATATGCTAATCGAAATCTCGGAATGGGTGGCCAATACAAAAGGTTTAGCTGCTGGTTCTATAGCATTACAGGTGAAGTAAAAATGATTATCCCGCAGTCAAAGACAAACCACACAGCACTTGGCATGACACATTTCCTCAGCATTATTTCAAAGCTGAAATTAAATGCCAGGATGATAATCATGTTTTATAAAATCTCAAAGATCTAAAGGCCCCAAAGGCATTATATGAAAAGGAGTCGTAAATGAAAATGAGAAAGCACTGATATTTATATGGCTTAAGAATACGAATCTTAATTGAGGTGTGCAATTTGTACAGCCTTTGTGGCATGAAAGAGAATGGGTGAGTGAATCATTATTATTGGGAGCTGGATTGTTTTCTAGTGATCAGCAGTTAGCAGCTCACATTAGGAAGTGATTTAGCAGTGGAAAAGCTCTACATTTGTAAGTCTATTGGTTGAACTATATTTGATTTTAAAGGCTGCAAGTGCACTAAGGTATGACAAAATGATAAATGCACAATATAGTATCAAAAACTCACATTTATGTTATGATTTATAGGTATTTTTGAAGATAAAAAAATATTTGGTAAGACTTCATTTTGATGGTCCATTTAAGTATTCCAATTCTATTGACTGTCTGCTTAACATCTGTTTATATTGCTCCTTCAACAGACATTTAACTGAATATAAGAAACTTTGCAAGAACATGTCAGATTACACACCTTAATCCTAACCCCAACCTAACAGTCTATTTATAATTTAATGAGAATTAGTTGGTTTGTAGATGCAATGTAACTTAAATTCAACAATCACACCATCAAAATAAAGGTGACCAAATATTTAAACACAAAGAAAGATGTTTTAGATTCTTTATAGACAGCAACAGTCCCGAGATGTTTAGAAGTCATGAAAAGGAACAGTGTGAATATAAATGTATATAATCTAGTTTCAGATTAATAGTGATATTTATACAAAACCTGTCAATAAGGACTGCCTGGTGGCCAGGGGCCAGTGTGCGAGATGCTTGGGAATGTAGACAGGATCGCTACTGGCCCAATCCAGTGCTGCCTTGCCACTAAAGTTTAATTTGCCTGTGACTGTTTGTCAATTTTATGACACGGCGGCTGTCCGTGGCGGCCAGCTATGAGTGAAAACAGTTAAATATAAGCTACTCTTTCATTTTTTAATCATAATTATTTGAAACTGTGAATGTTTCACTTTTATTTTATCTATATTATAATTTTTTTTAGCAAACCAGTATGTGTTTTGGCTGCGGAAGCATGTCAGATCTTGTTTTAGTTTTTCTAGTTTATATTTGTAGATAACTGACCAACAAAAATACATTAAAATTATACCAACAAAATATGTTCGAAAAAGATGTTTTGTTTTTTTCAACAGAAATCGGCTATATGAAGTGTAGCCTAGCTATATATTTTTGTTTGTGCCCGTCTGCTACACAGCCTGCAGGTGGATGATTTATTTTGCTCCATGAAAAATCAGGATTTAATTAAAGCTCCACTTTAGCCTAATTGTTGCACCACAAACTTATGTTCTATATTTGCTAATGTATTCATTATTCATTTTTTTAACAATCTATCTGATTTTTCCTCAGTTTTTGCGTCTTTTTATTTTCTCCATTTCACTCGTCGGTGAGTTCAGACGGGGGAATGTTTTTATATTAAAACTGGCCGCAGTTATTTTTTTCCATTAACATCAAGCAGAGAAATAGCAGGTTTGCTGAAAGTCTGGGAATTTTATTGGCGATGAAGTACAAAACACAATTGCTTTTCGGTTCTACTTATCTGATTGGATGTTGCAAGCATGTTGTTTTTTGCGATACCTGCAATAACTATGTTACCCTATTACCAAAAGCAAAACCTCAAAGCTTAAGATAAAAGCCGACATTACATAGCATGCACTGTGACTAAAAGGGCTGAGGAGAACCCTTCATCTGCTCTAATGAATTTGATTGCGAGATGTATAAACGAAGAGAATTATAAGCGCATCGACAAACAGCCCTTCCTGTCATTCCAACAGTGTCAGTGTCAATAAAACAGATTCATTCATTTTTATACGATTTATATGTATAAAATATATAGCTGTTTAAATGTAATAAGAGAGCCTAGACCATTTATACACAGACTTGCCACAGTATAAGAAAGGGGCCAGTGAAAACCAATCGGGCCGGAAGAATCCTTAGCATTAAACCCTGTTTCTATAACTGAAAAGTTTTATTTTTAATTTTTTAATTATATAATTTAATTTAAAATTGTAGCAGCCTGAGAGACATTAAACTTATTGCCTTCCTAAGCACTGGCTGAGCCAAGGTGATGCAAAAGCGATGGGCAGGTTCTCAATGACTGTGCCTGTCTTTGTGGATCCATTCAGGATCAGTGGCTGGATAGGTTCTTTCTACTATCTACATCATTTTCATGTTTTGTTTATGTTTGTCTCTACCTTTAGCCCCTCCTAAAACATATAACAGAAAAAACGACGGACTCAAATGAGTTTTTAGACTACCCTTGTCACTGCTTGAGTCTCCTGTAGGCTCTTGCAGACTCGTGGACTTCTTAAAGATACTGTTTGACTGCATAACAACCGACATTTCCCAATAAAGCACTTCAGAGACAACTTTGATCCCCTATTTCTTTTCCCTAAAGTCCGGCAATACGATGCCTGCATGTTGCTGCTGACTAATGGCAATACTTCAATCTGCCCGTAGTAAATGCTCACCCTGACCTGACACATAAAGAAAATATAGGCAAACAAAGTCATATACTGTGTTTTGAGTTGTAGGGGGTGCCGCACACAAATGTTTTAGAATTTTTTGTATTATTACAGTTGAACCAATGAAGACACATGAATTATCAGGAGAATGTTTCGGTTTCTTTTTATGGACTTACGTCTCTTGACCTCTCAAATATCATCTAAAATATCTTAATTCGAGTTCCAAAGATTAAATAAAGTCTTAGAGGATCGTAATAGCATCAGAATGAGCAAATAATATCAGAATTTTCATTTTTTGTGCAAAGTAACCCTTTAAAGGGAGAGTTCAACCAAAAAAAATTATTTACTCACAATTTACTCACCCTCAAGTGGTTCCGAACCTGTATGAGTTTCTTTCTTCTGTTGAACAAAGGAGATATTTTGAAAAAAGCTGACGACATTTAACTATTGACTTCCATAGTATGGAAATTAAGTACTCTAGACATCAATGGTTACATATTCCCTGCTTTATTTAAAATATCTTCTGTGTTCAACAAAAAAAAAAAAGAAAGAAACTTATAAAGGTTTGAGAAAGGAAAAGGGTGAGTAAATTATGACCATTTTTAGCTGAACTATCCCTTTAACTTCAAAGTTGTGTTCCAATTTGCGTATTTATGCAGTGTTCTCCATTTTTAAGAATAAATTGAGCAGGTTGTGTTCACACTATAAACATTATGCACTAAACTGTTGTATTTAAAATAGGGGAGGAGGGGCATTGGATTTTATAATCTGACAATGATAAAATTACCTCATAAAAGTCACACAATAAACAGTTAAGGTACAGTTGCAATGGTTTGAGAGTTGAACTTGTAATCCAGGGGTTTTAGGTTCGAATGAACAGCCTTCTGCAATGTTACAAAGTTTACTTCCATCAAGAGCTGCATTCATTTTTGGTAAAGATCTTGTACTGACAATGGGCGCAGATCCACTGTCTGACCCTGAGATATCCACTGTCTATTCCAGCATCTCAAGACTTTCAATGAGATTCACACCATACGATAGTCAACTCATATCTGAAAATCAAGCCCTCTTTCACAATCTAGAGATGAATCTTTGCATCATTCTGGAATATGGCCATGAGAAAGGTATTTCATTATGACTAACAAATAAAACGTTGCACACTGCATCAGTTAGGGTAAAAATAATTTCAAGCATCTATCATAATTATCATGGCAACAGAAATTCAATGACTGACAAATAAATACTAAATAAATACTAATAAATACTAATACTAATAAATAGGCCAGTCAGTGTGTATATTGTGCATTGCTGATGAGAGGACAATATTGTATACAGTGTGTGCTCATGAACCATTTACTAATATTCATTTAAGCTGTTTATAGGATAGACTAAATATCAGATGCTATTTAGTAATTGGCTTCTAAATAGTTTTTAGTGTTATGGCATTATCTGCATGGTTTATTAAAGAACTTTTTCCATTGGTTGACCCACTTCAAAAGCATGCTGCTGGCAGACATGTGCATAGGAAAGACAAGGGGCTCTATTTTAATGATCTAGGAGCAAAGTCTAAAGCTCATGGTGCAAAAGAACTAAGGGCGGAAAAATACAGTCTGCGTTCTGGCACATGATCTAACAAGGTTGTGCTTATTCTCCTAATGAGTTATGGGTGTGTTTTCAGCATCACTTGCATTAAACCAATCAAAGCCTCATCTCCCGTTACCTTTGAAAGTCAGTTGTATTGCGCCATGGCGCCTTTGCTATTTACATGGCAGACTTTGTTATTGGACAACCTAAATGCTTCACTGGCAAAGAAAAAAAAACAGGTGAACAGACCATCTGCAGCACAAGGATAAAGAACGAGCCTCCTCTGTTCAGTCTCCTTACTTTCTCTTTACTTTACTTTTACTCCTTTACTTTTGTGGAAAAGGAAACGGTGTTGTACGGCCTCCACTCAAGACATCCATTAGCCTACATATCCAATTTAGTTCATTAAGCACAAAGATGTTTCAAAACTATTTCTAAATTGAGTTCTAATTTCCAGCAAACTAATAAATGAACAAGAAATGTGGTTAAAAAAACAACATCCAAACACACGTTCTATTCTTATGCTGATGCATGTGTCTCCAAAACCTGACAGGTGGACAAATCTAAACCTGTTTTTATTAAAACAAATAAAAATATGCATACAATAAATAACACTGCTAGTAATAATAATAACAATATACAATTGCAAATTGTCATGAATAAACTAAGAAAAAAAGCCCCGCGACATGAAGAAGGCATGGAGGTAGTGGTTATAACTAACATGCTCTGCGCTACACTTTAGAACAAATTTTAGTTGGTCAATGGTACAATCTATTTCAGTTCCTCAAAATAGCAACACCCCAACAATGCGCCTTAGCACAGCTCCATTTTAGACCAGCACACCCATGAGTCTACAAAGCGGCATAAATGGATTTATGAGGATTTTAAGAGGACCTTTGGAATTGCAATACATTTTTTGTTTTTGCTTTTTCATATTTATTTTAAATGTTCATTTGAGAAGAATCATATAGAATTTCTAGTTACATATGGGCTGCATTTACACTGCATGGTTCAAGTGACTCCATTCCGATTTCTTTCTCTAATGTGGCACAGATCGCATATTGTCTATGTACGTGTTAGCATCAAAAAAATATCACATAAATTCCGATTTACTCGAATCAGAATCAGGCCTTGTTTATATGTGGAAATTGAATGGATCCGTGCCCTCATGTCTGTAAGCAGGTAGATTAGATTTTCACCTGTCAGTGCGAGTCGCGCATCATTAAAAACTGTAGTGAATGACATTAAGTTTGACGCTTTCATTTCAGAACAGACTTCAGCGGAGTCGCCAACCTTACATCTCATACACGAGGAAAAAAGCTTTCATATTATCATGTAGCACAAGTATATAAGCACATTAACGAGAGAGAGAGAGAGAGCAAGAGAGAGCACAACATCTGCCACGTATCCAATATAAATAGTGTTGCATACATCATGTGCATAAATCAGGCCATGGACATTACTTGAAGATGCACACTGGATTAAAATGGCCTTGATTAAAAGAAGATGACCAAATGAGAACTTTTCTGTCATAAACTATAGTAAAACAACTTGTGAAAAAGAATTTAAAAATGAAACCCTGTGAACAGATTAAATAAAGGAATGGAGAAGAGCTCTTTTATTATCAGCTGTCAGTCAACGTCCGATCGTTTTTTCCCTGGTCAATGCACATTTGCCGTGTGCTGTGTAAATGCAGACAATCAGATACAAGCCACTTTTAAAAGATGGTGTGAGCCTATCATCAAAAACATCAGATACAGTCACAAAATCAGAGTTAACCATCAAGATCTGCAGTGTGTCATCAACATGCAATTTTAAATGATTTTACAATATCTGTTCAGATGTATTAACTATACATTATACTCAAATTGTGGAATTACAATTTTTGTTTAATTGTGTTAAATGTCAAATCTAGATAGTTCCTTGCAGTTGACTTGTTTTCTTCAGTTAAGCTTCTAAAATTAGCCGTCCACTGCCTTTTATTCTTGTAAACCAGACTCAAGATTTATATTATCAGCCTGTATTTTGGTTATCAGCTTCCAAAATTTAAAGAGTTATCACATCATCCATAATTTCTGAATTGGATCATCCCTACTGTTTTTGTCTTCTTCTGGAAGCTTCAAAGCTTCTGTTCCATTTGTTGTTGGTACACAGAAAAGAGCGACCAACACAATACAAAGTATTTTCTGCTGTGCTGCAGTCAGTCATACAGGTTTGAAAAGACACAAGGGGGAGTAGATGAATTCTCAAGTGAACTACCAAATTAAGTTGAAATGAGACGTGTTTTTCAAAGTTCTCACCTGTAAGTGAGTGTCATTGGGGACATACTGATCCTGATCTCCCATCAGCGAAGTGATGACAGGATGCTTCCCTGCTGTGATCAAAATCTGACTTTTCTCCTCAAGAACCTCTGGCCTATGTTCAGAACACACAAAGAAAACAAAAACAACACTTAGATAAGCTGACAAAAATAAAATTGCCAACATAAAGTTTCGTGAACAACATACTGGCACGACACCTTACATATAAGAGTTGGAATTTATGGTATCAGCTCAACACTTTATAAAAAAAGTCCAGAGGGAGTGGATAAGCTCTGGTGCTCTGCAGAACAGGCGGGAGGGGGAGGCGGTAAGGAGCAGAGGGGGAGTAGTTGGCGGAAACCTCTGCTTTCAAAGTCAAATCCACGCCCCCACACAGACTGTCAGAGGGATATGGAGTGGGCTCTATACTGCATGGGGGTGGGATTCATCCTACTGTTGGACTCGATTCGGGCCAGGGAGAGATGGAGATGTGGGGGCTCCAGGGTCCCCTTACTCTAGGTTATCTATGAAAGCTTATGTAAGATGCTTTATGCGCATCTCACGAACCACAAAAGAGAAATACAGCTTCTTTGTAGATGCTCGGAAGTGATTGATTTTATTGCACTTCAGTGTGCTGAAAAAAGATAAAGACGTCCCCAAAACTTCTACCAGAACTACACTTAGCTGACTTGCGAACATTCAAGAAGAAGTGCAAAATATTTAATGTTGGTAAATAAAAGAATATGCATGCGATTCAAGTTGAAATATGGGAGAGGACAGGAAGTCAATGGAGAATGCTGGAATTAAAAAGTCAACTTCATTAGTACCTGCAGTAATTATTTTCTTTAGCAACTTGGGCCAAGGAGAAGAGGCAGTCCATGGTTGCTAGGTGACACACTGCTTTCCTCAGGATGTAGTAATGGTCCCCAAATAGCCTACATTGTTAAATAAAAAAAGATAGAGAAGTTTAAGTTTAGGTTTTTATTTATTGTTAAATTATAGCTGCATCCTGACTTTAAAGGGTCATGAAACACCACAACACCTTTTTTGAGAAGTTAACAGTCATATATGTGTCCCACGTTGCTAAAAACACTATTAGGAAACATATATTTTTAAAAAAAAGTGAAATTTATTTCGAGCAAATCTGTTCTGCCGGTTAGAAAATTTATTTTGAAGCTACATCACACCAATGAGATCATTGTGTAAATTACATCGTGCAGACTGGCTGTGTGTAACTGTGAATACAAAGTGGTGTCTTTGAGTTTTCAGCATTAATTCATGAAAACAAATTGATTCGAACCAATCAGTGTGCTCTATTGTGAATTAGGTTCAACTTCATTAATATGCATGATATAGCTTTAAAGACTGTTTTTACCTGTTACAGTGTTCAGATGGCAGAGAGACGCCATGTTGTGTTGAAAACCATAATTAAACCAAGTGGAACAAGAATTGTTCTGAGACATGGGTTGCATTTATAAATGTGCCGCCACTAAAGTTTCCATTTGTTTTCACATGTGCACAGCTGGCATGTGGACCCTGATTTGTGGATTACAGTGATCTGCTAACATGGGACAAAAATAAGTATGTAAGGAACATTTTTTACCCGAGAACTTTTCAAATCTGTAAAGGGTGAAATCTGGATTTGGCACTTATCTGCTTAAAAAAAATAATAATAATAAACGCCGTTCCAGTTGGTGTTGATTGTACTGTCTCTACAGATTTGGTAAGTGTGTGATCATTGTTCTTTATTTATTTTTATTCAGATAGCAAAGCTAGTTAGTATCGTCAGCAGTACTCTTTCAGTTTTTAAACAAATACCTTAGTCAAAATGATTTAGTTACTAAGTTTACAGTACGTTAATATCACTACAATATTATGGACAGAAAGATCTGCTGTAAATGCTGCTCTCTGAATATAAACACGTAAACACCTTAATTAAACTATTACCGTCGTGTAGGATTTTCACTGCATTTTGTGACAGGATAGCCAATACACAAACAGCTGTTTGACCTATTCTCTGCCCCAACCAAGTCTCAGCATCTACCAAGAAATGCAAAGGTTGTTTTTTTCACCCATTCGACATGCCGTATCAATCTCCATTAAAACAACACTCTTCCAGCAGTTCCTCGCATCTAATATCTCGTTTGTCATGGGGGGCATGCATGAAATGTTCCTGAATGAAAGTGAAAGTGCCAAAATACAGTTAAAGTTGGTAAATTAAAGCCACCTTTCCACTGCACACAACATTTGAACACGACCCTTATGGCAGCCGCACTCAGTTTCATTGTACTCTATGAGAGAAGCTGGATTCTGGATTTATTTCGCAATGTCCGAAATAAAGGAGTGCAAAAGCAAGAGCCTTTTTGCTCCGTGCATTCACCATGGTTGAATGAGTAAATGAACGAATGAATGAATGATTTAATGAATGCATGAATGAATTAATGAATTAATACTAGAAACTCAGAGCGCTGAAACTTTTTGAGGGTATGTGGAGACAACATTAAAAATATATATATTTATTACTCATTTATGAATAGAAATGTTTTTTTTATATAAATTAAATAATAATTTTTTTTCTGATTCAAAAAATAATGAAAAAAACTACTATTTCTCATCTCGTGTGCATGGACCTGCTCTGACAACAGTGGAATACATCACATCTGGTCAACTGGTCGCATACAGTCTAGTATCAGGAGTTCAAATATTTCAGGGTATCCGCAGCTCAAATCGGATTAAAATTTTCGGCATACGAAGATGAACGGAACTCCACGCAGCTCCCGGACTACCAGTCGTGGAAAGGCGGCTAAAGAATGAAACACCCGAAATTACATGAAACTCTGGAGTAAACGTGAATAGCTTGTTGACACGATGCCGTTAATCAAATTATGCGCTGTAAGATGTAAAACAGGATCATGAAAGAGCATCCAAAAGGCAACTCATGTAAACACCTTATTTATATTACTCTCTTATTCAGATTAAGGCAATAGTTTGATTAGTATTGATTATTTGATTACTGTGAAAATCAGCGGAACCACATATTAAAACTCCCCCTTTCATGCAAACCCTTCCCTCTTTCACCACTGGACACTCCCACCTAAACAAAGCAAGACTCACCCCATTTCCTGATTTTTTCATGGCCCTTTAAAGTCAATCCTAAAAATGCTCAAAACATCTCAAAAGGACAGATTCATGCGGTTCTTTTAAAGCTACATACTGAAGAAAGTTGATCCACTCGTGATTGCAGTCAATAACCAGCTGTTCGCGTAATTGCTGAAGGCGCCGGTGCTTCTCCACGATGAATGGAGTGTGATAGCGGCCAAAAACCTTAGTGCTGGGGATTAAAAGTAGATGTTTCAGTGCTAAAATTGCTTTGCATTCACATAACTTTTCAAAATGGAAGCAAGCTGTTTCCTGTGAATGTGAGAGACTTTCAATTTATCAGCTGCTATACTAAAACTCAAAACAAAAGTGCAGTAAATAATGAAAGTATGTGTGCTACAAATCAGTGTGTTTGTAGTCATGATGAATAAAAATGTGTTTGCTATATTGTGTACTATAGCTGACTTGTATGGCTATAATAGGTAGAAGCAGCTGACGTTGAAGTCTTGTGCTTTCAAGTTAAAAATGGAGTGCCTGCACTTATGTTAAAAATAATGTGTGTATAAAAAGAACTTTGAAATGCAAATCATATGAGAAAAAGGGCCACATTGTAAAAGCTCTCTTTAGATGAAGTTAATAAGTAAGATGATGGATTTGTAGGGATCAAGTTAGCACCCACCTGCTGATTTTCACCCAGTCTGCTGGAACTATGGACAACATACTGTTCTTCACCTCAATGAGAAACTGTGCAAGAAAAAGACAAGTTGTTGTAGACTGTGAAAATGTTGTATGTTTTTAACATACAGACCTCATTATTTTATATTCAAGTAGAAAATTACATTGTAACTAACACAATTTTCTATTTAATTCATGTTTATTTCTATAGTGCTTTTTTTACAATATAGGTTCTGTCAAAGCAGCTTAACATAGAAGTTCACATGACTGTCAATGCAGATTTCAGAGTTGAAGTTCAGTTTAGTGCACTGAAGAGCAAATGCATTAATGCACAGCTCCACAAGTCCCAAACCAAAAAAGCCAATAATGTAGTGTTAACTTAGTGCTAACTACTAAATATATATAGTTCATTTGGTTATGTATTTGAGAGAAAAACAGTTTAATAAATAACTTTTTAAAAATGATACAGGTAAAGAGAATATATAACTGAGTGCATTTCTAAGCACTTATTTAATTAAATTAGGCCAACAATGTGGCCATGTATTTTTGCAAAGTCATAAGGAGCACATTTGCCCTAACAGCTAGATTTTTTCCTATTGTTCCAGTACTTTACCTTGCATGTATACATTGCCTAACAAAAGTCTAGTCGCCTATCCTAGTTTTGGGAGAAACTATAATAACTTGACTTCTAGTTGATCTTTTGGTATCAGAAGTGGCTTATATGGAAGGCAAAGGCCTCTAGATTACTCGTATTTTACCAAAATAAAATATGATCATGCCTTTATTTTGAATTATTTAATTACGTCTGACTTTGCTGAGACAAAAGTTTTGTCACCTAGCAGAAATAATGTACATTATAGAAAATAAAGTCATGGTGCAGTGAGAAAAGAATGAATATTGTGTATGACTCCCATGAGCTTGGAGGACTGCATCCATACATCTCTGCAGGGACTCAAATCACTTATTAATAAAGTCATCTGGAATGGCAAAGAAAGCGTTCTTGCAGGACTCCTAGAGTTCATCAAGATTCTTTGGATTCATCTTTAATGCCTCCTCCATCTTACCCTAGACATGCTCAAAAATGTTCATGTCTGCTGACTGGGCTGGCCAATCCTGCATCATCTTGACCTTTGCTTTCAGGAACTTTGATGTGGAGGCTGAAGTATGAGAAGAAGTGCTATCCTGCTGAAGAATGTGCCCTCTCCTGTGGTTTGTAATGTAATGGGCAGCACAAATGTCTTGATACCTCAGGCTGTTGATGTTGCCATCCACTCTGCAGATCTCTCGCACACCCCATAATGAATTTAACCATAAACCATGATCTTTCCTTCACCAAACATGAATGATATCTGTGAGAATCTTGGGTTCATACAGGTTCCAATAGGTCTTCTGCAGTATTCATGATTATTGGGATGCAGCTCAACAGATGATTCATCAGAAAAATCTACTTTCTGCTACTTTTCCAAATAATCAACTAGAAGTCAAGTTATAATTGTTGTGCTTACACCTGAGATTAATGATAAGACTTTTGTCAGGTAGTGTACTGCATTTCTGGATTACTGTAGTGCAAACATTCAATATGTGACAGGAAGGTGTTCTCTTTAAGCACATAAAAAATGGTATGAGGAAGTATAATTTATTCAAACTTGTTCTTGCTCAAAGAAATTATATATATATATATATATATATATATATATATATATATATATATATATATATATATATATATATATACCAGCCAAAGATCTTCACCTCCCAGATTGTTTAAGAGCAGCCACTTGGACAGCTGCTGCAACCATCGCTTTGCATAACCAATGAATTTCTGCACAAACTGTCAGAAATCATCTCAGGGAAGCTCATCTGCATGCTCATCGTCCTCATCGAGGTCTTGACCTGACTGCTGTTCCTTGTCGCAACCAACTTGAGTAGGCAATTGCTCACATTCAATGGTGTCTGGAACTTTTTATATGTACACAAAAGCCCTATTTCTCTCAAATAGTGTCCACACATTTGCATTCTGTAAATCTGTGTTAGTGAGCACGTCTCCTACGCCAAGATAATCCAACCGCCTCACAGGTGTGGCATATCAAGATGCTGATTAGACAGCATGGCGGGGCAGGGGGTGTAGAATGAGTCAGTATCTGATGTGACCTTCACTTGCCTCAAGCAGTGAAATGCATCTCCATCCCATCAGGTTGTTGATTGTGGCCTGTTGAATGTTGGTCCACACGTCTTCAATTACCATGCAAAGTTAGTGAAAATTGGCAGGAACTGCAAAACGCTGATCGAGAACATCCTAAACATGCTCAATGGGTGACATATCTGGTGAGTAAGATGACCATGCAAGAACTGGTATGTTTTTAGCTTCCAGGAATTGAGCACAAATCCTAGCAACATCTGGTCACGCATTATCGTGCTGCAACATGAGGTGATGATCGTGGCTGAATGGCAGAGCAATGGGCCTCAGGATCTTGTTGTGGTGTTTCTGTGTATTCAATATTCAGCTGTGTTCACTTTCCATAACAAACTGCCCATACCATAAGCTTACAACGTTGACATCAGCAAACCGATCACCTACACAACACCATAGACTCATCTGCCCTGCATGGTGTAAACTGGAATTTATCCATAAAGAGAACACCTCTCCACCAAATGTAGCACTTGCCCACTCAAAGGTTATGACAAGTGATCTGCAGTCAGATTGAGAGCCTGATGGAATGACGAATATTCAGATGAGCTTCCCTTAGACGCTATCTGAGAGTTTTTGGAGAAATTCTTTGGTCTGCACATTTTAGAGTGGCCTTTTATTGTGGCCAGCCTATGGCACACCTGTGCAATAATTATGCTGTCTAATCAGCATCTTGATATGCCACACCTGTAAGGTGGATGTATAATCTCCACAAAGGAGACTTGGGCTGCGTCCGAAACCGCCTACAACTCATTAGGTACTGCATTTGAATTTAAACATACCAATTGGCCTTAGAAAAGTATGTCCTATACAGTATGTATGTGAAAAGTATGAATGTAATTCGTCGGACAAACTACACCCACCATTTTGTCATGGTCACGTGACCTAACTGCGTAAGTTGTGTCGCTTTACTCCCATTACTGAATTCGCTCGTGGGGCATCATGGGATAGCGCAGCATGCATGGGATGCACACTCCAGAATCTCGCAAGAAGTAGTAAGTCATCCTGGTACTTCTCGCATACTGTTTTTCGAATTTTATGAATTCGGACATACTACTCAGCTCGCATACTGATTTTAGCGTACTGTATAGTATGGAGGTATGCAGTTTCGAATGCAGCCTTGCTCTCTAACACAGATTTAGACAAATGTGTAAACAATATCTTAGAGAAAAAGGCATTTTGTGTAGATATAAAAACAATTAGGGACTATTTACACCTGATCACTTTTTGCTTTTTTTCTGATTGGATAGATCTGATTTATGAATATAAATCTTCAAATCCTGCACTATGTTACTATTGACTAAAGCATCAAAAATATGCAACATTTTATGAAAAATGGAGGAAACCCATGCAAGTGCAAGGAGAACATGCAAACTCCACACAGAAACGCCAACTAGCCCAGCCGAGGCTTGAACCAGCGACTTTCTTGCTGTGAGGCGACAGCACTACCTACAGCACCTCTGCGCCACCTATTTTACATTATATTATATTATATTATATTATATTATATTATATTATATTATATTATATTATATTATATTATATTATATTATATTATATTGGGCATCACAGTGGCACATTGGGTAGCACAAACGCCTCACAGCAAGAAGGTCAGTTGGCATAATCTAAATTGACCGTAGTGTATGTGTGTAAATGAGTGTGTATGGATGTTTCCCAGTGATGGGTTACAGCTGGAAGGGCATGCGTTGCATAAAAACATATGCTGGATAAGTTGGCGGATCATTCCGCTGTGGTAACCCCAGATTATTTGAAGGACTAAGTCGAAAAGAAAATGAATGAATGAATGAATGAATGAATGAATGAATGAATGAATGAATGAATGAATGAATCAAAATTATATTATAGTAATTTAAAGTTTATTTTTGTAAATTTGTGATGTAAACACCAAAATACCTCCTATATCTCAAATATCTTTATAAACCTGCCACTAAAATTGCATTTCAAATGAAACATCTTTGTCCATCACTCATTCTACTCTTGTAGACTTGTCCAGAATAAGATGCGAAATGTCTTTATGCTGACAGCCAGAAGAGTAGCTATGCTAGACTGGGTGAGAGATACTGGGAAAAAGAGGAGCGGCAGGGGTCTGTATTCTGGAGTTGAGAAAACTGTTGTGTATTCATGAGGGAAAGGCAGAAATGGGCAGATGGAGAAACAGATGTGGAGCTGCATGCAAAAATGTCAGACACTGTCCTTGTAGTTGCCATCTTTTAGTAGAGAAGTATTCAAGAGCACAATAACATTATTAAAACAGCCACGTTATATGATGTTGAACAAGAAGTTAAAAGGTTTCTTAAAGATAGAAGGTTGCATAATTGTAGAACATCTGATACAAGACCACTGTGTTTTATAATGCGTCACAATGCAGTATTTAAAACAGTAGCTTTAATGTAGAAAATATGACTTTGTACAGTTTAACCCTGAAAAAAGTAGTATATAATATAGTCATTAGTTATCCATTACATTTTTCATAAAGTGCATTAATAGGAGTGAATTCCAGCACTAGCAGAATGTGATGTATAAAGAGTTGCATGCAATAGATCAACAGCCATAGTCAGTTTGTTTTTCACCAAACCCTATTTGGAATATACAACCCCATCGTCATAAACCATTCTGTAGTATTTCACATTTTGCTTAACAAGCGTAATGCTGGTTGTCGTTAAATGGAAGTTTTGGTTTATAATTGGATTTTTTTTCTAAATTCCCCTTTGTGATCTGAAAACAAAAAAAGGTATACAGCATTAGAACATCACCTCGGATGAGCAAATGATGACAGGATTTTCAACTGTGTTTGGACTATGGCTAGAATCTAAGCATGTAAAATTCTGTACAGATACTATTGAAAAGAGGCGGGATGAAACAAGATAATTAGACATTGACTATGTTTACATGGACATCAGTTATCAAATTACTTGCCTTAATCTGGGGTCTGTTCTTCGTACCTCGCTTAAATGATCTAAGATGATTTGACAGATCCTGGATCTTTTAATCTTGATAACTGATCTCTCGCTAATTTGGTTCTTCAAACAAGTTCGCGAATCAGATTAGAATGTCTGGATAAACTGATCTGAGATCGCTGCGTATGTTGTGTCTATCAATCCTCGAAATCATGATCAGCAATGCAACGATTGGCTGACGGCACAGCAGCGTAATGCGATCATCTGATTAATATTCAATTATCCATGTGAGCAAAATTACATCAAATTAGCAGTAAACGACTTGTTAAATATGACACGCAATAACCTTCCACATTTGTTGTGAGCAGCAGGCTTTACACTTTCATGTGTCAAGAGTATTCATCATGTATTTCAATGCATATCAATGTATTTAGTTCTACATTTAGAAAAGATTTTCTTTATTTTGGTTGTTTACAAAAGCATTTTGATATTGGTAAAGGTGTCTGCAACTTTTGTGAAGCATCAAATCACCGGCATATTAACTATCAAAACATGTTTATGACTGCATAAATGTATTATTGCTTTTAAAAAAAAAACATATATTCTGCATTTCTATTATACACAATTTGACCTAAAGCGATCTAAAAAGTTCATATCAATAAGTTTTCTCTTTGCACCACCAGGTGGCAGTCTTTGTACTTTCATTTCGAGGGTGCAGATTGCATAAGTTTTATTAATATGTATAACTTTATTTATTTTATTAATGACTATAACTTTATATATATAGTTAAAAGTATGTACCATTTTCCCAAGTGTATAACTACTACTGTAAGAAAATATCAGAATTGGGAACATACTTTCTGTATTATCTTTGCTTGAACTAAGCCGATCTAATCCTTTTTATATGAATTGAACCTGCTCCCGATCAGGTTTGACCTAGCAGAACTGTTGCTATGACAACAACTCTCGGATCAGCTTTGAAGAAAGAAACAATCCTGGATCGTGTCAAATCGTCAATAACCAAATCCAGCTAATTGAGTAATTCACGTACGAAGAACGGACTAATGATTAAGACAATAATAAGATTGATGTGTTTGAGTTGCTTTTAAAAGTTCCTTTCATGAGCTCATTTTACATTATAGCACATAGATTAACGTCATTGCGTCAGCACATGTGTATTCACATTTCTTCAGGAGTTTTATGCAATTTTGGGTCTTTTATTTTACATCTTAAGCTTTAACTGCAGTTTGGCACTTTCACTTTCATTCAGGAACATTTCATGCATGCCCCCGTGACAAACTGAGGTACTGAATGGAAGTACGGATTAAGCACTGGTGGAGAAGTGTTGTTTTTAATGGAATTTGATACCGCACGCTGAATGAAAAGAAAAAAACCTCCACATTTCACGATGTGTCTGTGGTCCTTTACTGACATGGTGGGTGCAGAGAATAGTTTCAAACAGCTGTGTGTGTACAGACTATCCTGACGCAAAATGCAGCAAAAATCGCTAATAGTTAGATTGCGGTGTTTACATGTCTGTACTGCACTTCAGCAATGCCACTAATATAGCATACTCCATGTCTTAAGCCTGGTTTATACTCTTGCGTCAAGTGATCGGTGTGACCCATGGTGCACTTCCGAAACGCTAACTGGCAGTAGGTGTTTAGTTTCCTCTGTGTCGAGTTTCTTTGCTGGTGTTTTGTTTTTTCTGAATGCTACCTTAATGTACAAGTGGCTTAAACTCGCTTATTTTGAGGTGAGAATCGGTGGACGGGCAACAACTTTAATCATAAGGTAAACACAAAACAACAGTCCCTCTCACCACAGTATAGCACAGTGGAGATTTCTTTATTTTTATTGAAACAGTCCCTTAAAAGTCACATCTCATCTTCAGTGTCGGGCTCAAGTGAACCGAGCCTAAATGAACTGCGCTGTGGCACACCTCTTCTAACCAGGCCAGGGCCAGGAAACTGAACCATGCCTGAGCCCAACTCAAAGTACTCAAACTTCTCAAACATTCTGGGAAATGGGCCTGGGCACGGTTCGGATAGCATAGTGTGAGTACGCCCTGAGTGTGTGTTCTATTTGATTGTGGATCCTTTTACAGGTCTGGGGTTAGCTCTAAACAGACGTTTGTATGCTTTAGCTATTGAGATATCGTTCAGAGTTCTACGCACACACCCACTTTTTCGGTTCAAACTATAAATTTCCCCTACACTCCTAATTTTACATTTCTGTACAGAGAGTAGGAATGCTCCAAATAACTGATTAACCATTACCCAAGGGGTGCGTTTGAAACAGATTGATGGCATCAGTTTAATTAAAAACATTATTTTTTTATATTTTAAAAGTTTAACTGCATAAGGGCCCAATCACAGCGCACTTATTGCATTGAGAGGAGCATCTTTTGAATGGATTACTAAAGGCCATCTGTGTTTTGCATGCGGTTTATGTGCCCTGCCACACTTCACGTTTTTTGCACTTTTACATATATCAATCAAATAAAAGCAGAGGTGAGGTTTCCCTTGAGGTGACAGCAGTGTATATGTTGTCATGATGACAACAGAGAACTTTTTAAGATGGTGGAGAGAATAGTGGTCGCTGTTTCAAATTATCCAGAGCTGTATTTCTTTATAAATCTTGAATTTCATAATATTATATAATATTACAAGAATGACAACATTGACAGCAAAACTCACACACAATACGCAGCTGATTCAGTCATGTCCTAGTGACATAAAAAAGCGCACATTGCTTCTTTTCTTATCAACAAAAAAGGCAGTGAGGTGAGTGTCATGTTTTTAAAATGGAAAACCATGTTCTCATATTTTATAGCTTATAAAACATGAATGCAAATAAATGCAATATCATATGTGAACAACAAAGTTGTTATATGCTATAGTAGCCTACACTTTACAAAAAGTCAACTTATAAGCCTTGTTATTGTATTTCATCACACGCAGTGCTCGCACATAACCTGAGAGCGAGAGAGGAAATAAAAGCACACGAGCACTATGATTATATTAAAAATGTTGACAGAGGCTTGTGATATAAGAATTAGAGTGGAGCATTAATTAATTGCATAAGCCCATTTTCCGTGAAGCGATGGATTTGAGGTAAGCTGCTATTTTTATTTGACAAAAGAAAAAAAAAAAACATGATGACTATGCTGTTTTTTTTTTTAAGAATTCAGTTAGTGTTTTCGTTTTGTAATCTAAATTTGTCATTTGTCATGAAAAATATCTAGGGCAGGACCATTTATTTTATTATTTTTATTCAGTTTATCCTGTTTTTCTATGCTGTTGGAAACACTGCAGGTGCATGAAGACATTCTGTTGTGGTTATTTTGTCAATGTGTTGGCATGTTAAAATAATTCAGTATTTTAAAACACAATATTTAATGTGTCAGTCACAAAATAGACATGTCAATTAATATTTTTAAAAATTAAATAATAATTTAATATTAATCTGACTATAGTTAACCATTAATATTCGATTAACTAGCGGCGGTTGTCGGTTGGCAAAATTAACCAAATGGAGCATCCCTAACAGAGTGGTTAGGTTTTGATCTACTTTTGGTCTCAGGCAATCACGTGATGCGATTTTGCATCTCAGAGTTCGCCAAGATTGACTTTTGAAACACAGTGACATTTAAAACTTGTAGCACGAGCTTGCATTTCTGGTCTGCTGCATTCAGGCGCTTGTGAATGGAAGTGGGGCAAAAAGTGCAGTGTAACTGTGGCTTAAATGAAACAAAATATTCAAGAAAATGTGTTTTTTTATAACAAGGTTGACAGTAGTGCTTGCAAATTTGAGCATTTTATGCAAATTTAATCTAATACGTTTGACAGCAACAACACAGCATATGCGTCTCTACTGTAAAATACCATATTTGTGTAATGCAGCAGGTGTTACAATGGCTTTCGTCCTCAATTTCTGAAACTCATTAATCAAACAGATGTCTGAGATGAGATTGTTGACGCTATTACTGTACCTGTTGGCCAGACACTGTGGTGTAGTCCAAAGATGGGTTTTTTAACAACAGGCGAACTTCTCGCCGGTGCTCCATTATGTCCAACAAAACACTCTCAATCTCCTCTTTTGTTTTCCGGATCACTGGGAAGTCAGTCAGGTCCACAAACATTTCTGTTTTATTGCCTGTCCTAAAAGAAAATAGTTCAAAATATCCATGCAGAATTAAAGTATGAAAGAAATAAATGAATGAAATGAATGAATACACATACAGTTAAAGTCAGAATAATCTTTGCCATGATGACAGTAAATATTATATTTCTATATATTTTTCAAGACACTTCTATACAGCTTAAAGTGACATTTAAAGGCTTAACTATGCTAATTAGGTAAACTAGGCAGGTTAAGGTTATGAGGCAAGTTTTTGTATAACAATGGTTTGTTCTGTAGACTATCGAAAAAGAATATAGCTTAAAGGGGCTAATAATTTTGACCTTAAAATGGTTCACAAAAAAATTTAAACTGCTTTTATTCTAGCTGAAATAAAACGAATAAGACTTTTTTCAGAAGAAAAAATATTATCAGACATACTGTGAAAATTTCTTTGCTTTGTTAAACATCATTTAGAAAATCTAAAAAAAATTAAAAAGTCAAAGGGGGGCAAATAATTCTTATTTAACTGTATAAGACTTCCACCATATATGCACTTATACATACATTAATGTTTTTAACCATTTGCCAGCAAGAAGTTTAAATATGTTTTTTAAGTAATAAAAATTATGTATGATCACATGTTCATGTCAATGTCAGGACTCGGTCATTTCGGTTTAAGTAATTCTTGTTTGGGTGGCAGAGTCCAGTCCTGTCTTGTATTGTATTTTGAGCTCGGCTCGAGTTTTTTGGGCCGAGCACTCATATCCTATCTTAGTCTCTGTCTCTCATCATTTTTCTGTTCTAGTCTTTGTAGCAGGCAAGCATGACTCCTGAGGAGACTCTGTTTCACTTGTGCTCACTTGCTGTCTTGTTTGTGTTTGTTCTGTCTGCAGTGTGCTGTTTTACTCTCAGCGCCTCAGTCTAGTTGGTTTCGGTTTTGTTGGCGCTGGGATGGAACATGTGCGAGTGCACAGTAAGTGTTTTATTTATTGTGTGCCCATGTCTTGCGTTCTGTATGTGTTAGCCTTGTCAAAACACGTGGCTCGCTGTTTACATTGTGGCTACGTGTTTTAGTGTTGTGTTTCGTGTGAACATATGGTTAATGAGTTCTCTCATTGGGTGCATGGTCTAGTCTCGATTTACGCAAGCACATGTTGCTTGTGTTGTCTCTTTGTGTCATGTGCTCTCCTGTCTATCGTCTAGTCCCGCCCTCCTTGTAAACTAATTACAAGTTTATCATGTTCACCTGTTTGTTTCACATTTTTGCTCTTGTTTATAGCTTCTTGTCTGCTGGGGTCTGTTCTTCGTACCTCGCTTAAATGATCTAAGATTATTTGGCAGATCTTTTAATCTTGATAACTGATCTCTCGCTAATTTGGTTCTTCAAACAAGTTCGCGAATCAGATTAGAATGTCTGGATAAACTAATCTGAGACCGCTGCGTGTGTTGTAAAGGACAGATCTATCGATCCTCGAAATCATGATCAGCAATGCAACGATTGGCTGACGGCACAGCAGCGTAATGACATCATCTGATTAATATTCAATTATCCATGTGAGCAAAATAACATCAAATTAGCAGTAAACGGCTTGTTAAATATGACACGCAATAACCTTCCACATTTGTTGTGAGCTGCAGGCTTTACACTTTCATGTGTCAAGAGTATTCATCATGTATTTCAATGCAAATCAATGTATTTAGTTCTACATTTTGAAAAGATTTTCTTTATTATAGTAGCCGTTTTTTTAATCTGTGTAAAGAATAACTGGTTGTTTACAAAAGCATTTTTATATTGGTAAAGGCGTCTGCAACTTTTGTGAAGCATCAAATCACTGGCATATTAACTGTCAAAACATGTTTATGACTGCATAAATGTATTATTGCTTTTAAAAAAAGTCACATAATTGTGCATATCTATTATACACAATTTGTACTAAAGCGATCTAAAAAGTTCATATCAATAAGTTTTCTCTTTGCACCACCAGGTGGCAGTCTTTGTACTTTCATTTCGAGGGTGCAGATTGCATACGTTTTATTAATATGTATAACTTAATTTATTTTATTAATGACTATAACTTTATATATATAGTTAAAAATATGTACCGTTTTTCCAAGTGTATAACTACTACTGTAAGAAAATATCAGAATTGGGAACATACTTTCTGTATTATCTTTGCTTTAACCAAGCCGATCTAATCCTGTTTATATGAATTGAACCTGCTCCCGATCAGGTTTTACCTAGCAGAACTGTTGCTATGACAACAACTCTCGGATCAGCTTTGAAGAACGAAACGATCCTGGATCGTGTCAAATCGTCAATATCCAAATCCAGCTAACTGAGTAATCCACGTACGAAGAACAGACCCCAGGTCTATGCCAATTTGTTGTCGTTTATCAACTTATCCTGTTGTGCCCAGCCTTGTCGAGCCCTGCTCTTCCCTGCCAGCCCAGTCTATGTAGTTTGTGTCTTTCACAAGACAGTTTATGTATAATAAGAATTCAATGTGAATTCTCTGTTTATAAAATTGCTTTGGTTTGTCGCCGACATGTGTGTTACACATACAGAAACCAAAAAAAAATGTTGTTTTAAATATTTTGTTTCAAAATATACAATGCGATGGACAACATTCCTAGCCATCCTGTGAAATGTGTATTCTTTTTTAAATATACGTGATAATTCTTTCAAATATAACAATTTTGTTCACAGTATTTACTATTTTTATTTAAATTTTTAACAATTCATTTGAAGGTCCAGTGACTTGCCTATTTAGACTAACCTGCTTAGTGAACCTAATTAAACTAGTTAACGTTTAAATTGCACTTTAAACTGAATACTAGTACACCACCTGATGAAAGTCTTGTGAATAATATTAGTTGTAAGAGCAGAAAATAATAACTTGACTTCTAGTTGATCATTTGGAAAAGTGGCAGAGGGTTGATTTTTCTGATAAATGGTCTGTTGAGCAGCATCCCAATTATCACAAATACTGCAGAAGACCTACTGGAACCCGCATGAATCCAATATTCCCATTGAAATCAGTCAAGTTTGGTGAAGGAAAAATCATGGTTTGGAGTTACATTCAGTATGGGGGCGTGCGAGAGATTTGCAGAGTGATCTACATCAGCATCAACAGCATCAACAGCCTTAGGTAACAAGACATTTGTGCTGCTTATTACATTACAAACCACAAGAAATGGCAATTCTTCAGCAGGATAGCTCTCCTTTACATACTTCAGCCTCCACATCAAAGTTCCTGAAAGCTTATAAGGTCAAGGTGCTCCAGGATTGGCCAGCCCAGTCAGCAGACATGAACATTTTTGAGCATGTCTGACGTATGATAACGGAGGAGGTATTAAAGATGAATCCGAAGAATCTTGATAAATTCTAAGAGTCGTGCAAGAGCGCTTTCTTTTCTATTGCAGATGGCTTTATTAATAAGTGATTTGAGTCATTGCAGAGATGTATGGATGCAGTCCTTAAAGCTCATGGGAGTCATACACAATATTCATTCTTTTTCCACTGCATCATGACTTTATATTCTATACTGGACATTATTTCTAAAAGACGAGACTAAGTAAAGTCAGACCTTACTGTACTAAATAAATATTTCAAAATCAAGGTATGATCATATTATATTTTGGTTAAATAAGCATAATCTAGGGGCGTTTGCCTTCTATATAAGCCACTTCTGATACCAAATGATCAACAAGAAGCCAAGTTATTATTTGTTGTTCCTAAAACTTGCAAACATACAGGTGACAAAACTTTGAACAGGTAGTGTATCCTGAAAAATATCTAGTAAAATATTATGTACTGTCATCATGCCAAATACAAAAAAAAAATTAGTTAGTGGAAATGACCTTTATCTACTACATTTAAAAATTGTGATTCCCTTCATTATACTGTATTTGGGAGGGATTTCACTTGAGGCCTAATAATTTAGTCTTCAGCTATATCAATTTAAAATGAACAAACTAAGGTGAATACCCATGAAGCTGTCAAAAAAATGAACTTACTTTGCCGCTTTCTCATTCAGCACTTTTAAGAAGTTGTGGGCGGGGCTTAAAAGCTGAGGTGTGTCCAGCAGGAGGGTCTTCAAAAGGGGAGAGCTGAGCTGTGATTGGATGGCAGGCATGAGGGCTTGAAGCTCAACATTCAGGCGAGAGAGAGAGCTAATGATGAGGTAAAATTCCTGAGTGGAGCACTGGAAAAACAGAAAGGCCAAAGATATGTCTTTTTAATATTTGTCGTCTTTTTTCTCATATTTATTTTGTGTTGTCACTTGTCACTTTATGTACACTGGAAGCTTCTGTAGCCAAAACAAATTCCTTGCATGTGTGAAGCACACTTGACAATAAAACTGATTCTGATTCTGATTAAAATTAAAAGCATGCAGGCTGGATATTAACAGTTTAGTACAGCACATATTGTGGTTCTCATGAAAGAGTTATAATTATATATCATCTAATTTCATTTCAGGTTTAATTAACAGATTCTTTGCAAACTCTCTGCAAATGCAGTGACAGGTTGTCCCTATTGTAAATGTCCATCTTTACATAAACTTAAATGTGTGAATCTACGTAATTTATAATTTGTGTTTCAAGTTCCAATGAACTGTATAATTAATGGAATGCTGTGCCTCAATTGCATTTATACAACAGTTCTGTCTGGTTCTCGAATTTGATTGGCTGATAGCCATGCAATATTCTGCAATATCAGCACTCGTACAGCCTCTTCACTCTTGTGTCTTTCTCCGCCCACATAGAGTGACAGTAGATCAATAAACTCACTACAGTTTGACAAATATTGCAGCTGTTGGACAACACAATTTACTTTTGAGGTGTTTCAGGTGAGAATGTAGTTGTTTAGATTGCATATATGCAGTTTATTTAGAAGGATAGCGCCTATTTTAAATATTTATTTTTCAGAGAGACAGCACGTTGGCAGCCACTAGCCTGTCATTAAGCAGAGCAAAGACGGATGATGTAGTCGATCCACAAGATGGCGACAAAGACTGCAAAAAAGTTCTTAGAAAAGAAAAACAGCATAATTTCTAACTACAGCTAATCAAATGATTAGAAAAATGGTAATTGACATTCTAAGTCTCTCTCTCTATGTTGTAATGCTGTATTTATACCATAGGATTTGTAGTGCATTGAGTTTGAAATAGGACTCATTTATCAGGATGTATTTTTGTGTTGGCCACTCTTTGTATAACCCTGAGTTACCTTTTGTTTGGCCGTCTGTTTGTTTCTAATGAGTCTCATGTTTTTTGTTACTGCCGACCAGTTCAGTAAAAAGAAAGCAGAAATGCCCGCATGTGTTGAGTGTTTTTTCTTATTGCAAACAGAAAAGTCTAAAAATCTAGTAAGGATTGCACTGCTTTGCCTTTTTCTGGGTTAATTATTGTGATCTCCCGATTGCAACAGAGAAATACTGGGAAATCTCTGTAGACTGATGGAATTTCATGCTGTTCAGCCTTAAGGCCCGTGCACACCGAGACGTTTTTTGCTCGCGTTTTTCGTTGACTTTTAACGCCTCGAAACTAAATAAAGGGCGTCAATGTGATTGTGCACACCAACGCGTAAAACGACAGGCGCAAAAGCATCATTTTAAAAAAAGCGTCTCATGCTCGTTTTTTTGTTTTGACGCGCGGCATCAAAACCTTCTCCACCAATCAGATCGGCACTTTTGTTCATGTGCACGGAGCTGCTGAAGTTACAGTAAGCAGCACTTGGAGGCGCTCAAGCGCAAAACTGTAATTGCAAACGCACATTGAAGAAGATGCCCAGAGGCGTTATGAACGTGGAGCTGCTTATTGCTCTGTGAACACTAATCATTTCTTCATCACTAGAGCTGGAGCTGCTGCTTGAACCATCCATGCTTGTTCGAGTCACCAGTACATTTAACAACAAACGTGTGAACTTCCGCTCCTCCACTTGATTTAGCATGCTCTTCTGCTTGACGCCAGAGAAAAGCGCTTGGGTTTGAACACTGAAAAACGTCTCGTAAAACGCTGACTATAAACGCAAACGAAAAACGTCCCTGTGTGTAGAATCCTAAAATGTGAGCAAAATCCCCTGTTTTGTCATCACTTAAAAGATTACACTAGAGAATCATTCAAATACTAGCTCTAAAGAGATGTTGGTGAAGTAGCAAAGGTTTCTGCTTATTTGATGTCAGCTGCAGATGTAAATGAATGGCGAAAGAAAGTAGTTCCTCAAATACAAAAGGGTTTTTAGAATCTCAGTGTTTGATTTTCTTTTTTTATGTGCACAATTATGCCGTCAAACTGTAGTATAAATGCAATATCACACGAGTAGCAGTGCGATATGGCTGTATATCGTCACTGGTGGTACACTAAGGCACGCACACCTCCCACCAGTGCCGATACACAGCTGTATCACACTGTTAATCGTGTAATTTTGCACATTTATGATGCTTATTTTAAATATTCTAAAATGTCACCCACAGTAGGAAAAATTTACAATGAAATGGCAATGGCTTGACATTACCAAAACAACATAACTTGTCATAAACCTGTCATAAACCTGTCATAAACATGATTGTCATGAGGCCCTTATAATTGTTTCATTTTTTAGATCACATTTTCAGAGGAACAAACTACTATTTATCATTAAAATGTCTCTCTAAAAGTGTCATAAAACTGTCAAATATTTTTTAAGATAACTTTTAAATATTTAGTTACATTTTAATGGCAAATTCAGATTGTACCACTGTAGAGATAAAATATATACAGTTGAAGTCAGCATTATAAGCCCCCCTAATTTAATAGCCCCTGATTATTTTTTCTCCTATTTCTATTTAATAGAGAGATCTTTTCAACATATTTCTAATCATAATAGTTCAATAACTCATTTCTAATAATGGATTTATTTTATCTTTGCCATGAAGACAGTAAATAATATTTGTCTAAATATTTTTTTAAGACACTTCTATACAGCTTACAGTGACATTTAAAGGCTTAACTAGGTTAATTAGGCTAACTAGGCAGGTTAGGGTAATTTAGGCAAGTAATTGTGTAACAGTAGATTGTTCTGTAGATTATCGGAAAACAAAATTGCTTTAAGGGGCTAATACTTTTGTCCCTAAAATGGTGTCTAAACAATTTAAGACTGCTTTTATACTAGCCGAAATAAAACAAATAAGACTTTCTCCAGAAGAAAAAAATATTATCAGACATACCGTGAAAATGTCCTTGCTCTGTTAAACATAAGTTGGAAAATATTTTAAACAGAAGAAAAAAATTTAAGGGGGCTAACAAATTCTGACTTCAACTGTATGTAGTGTCATCCCAAATGGAACACTAATGAATTTTTTTCTAAGCGGAAATTCAAACAGCTTCCCTCATGACGTTTGACGGTTGCCAAATTAGCGAAATAAATGACTGAACTAACAAATAATACCTGCCATTAGTATAACTGCATTCAACATTGGGCGGTGCTATAATCACTCTCGTAGGAGAATTTTGCTTTCACAATCCAAAACAAATTAAGTAATACAACATTAGCGCCTGAAAGCTACACCACTTCCACTACGTGAGCAAAGCAACGGTCGTTGAGTGTGTGAACAGTCCAACATTACACACTTAATTTTAACGGTTGAGTAAGTGCATCAGCAGGGTATTTAAAGTGCACTTATTCTTTTTATTCTTTTTTCTTCTTTCACTTTCACTATTTATACAACAAAATGGCGTAGAATAGTGCAAAATAATGGTAAGTATGCAATTTGGGACGCCCCTTCTTTCACATTTATTATTATAAAGATTTGATGACAGGCTTATGAACACCCTTCAAGTAAATTGGTGCTAAACATTTTAAAGGCTAAGAAGAATAAACCTTTTTTATGCTTTATTTCGAAATGCATTAACAATTACACACAAAAAATAACTATCGATTACCCCAAGAAATAATAATGCTAACTTGTAACTTTGCGTGGAGCATCATTAATCATTATACCTCAACACCCGTGTGTATGCAATCTGTAATTTCCATAATTTGATGAGAGCAAGCACCAAGAAGCCAATTAAATCTCTGCTTGATCTTGTGTGTGTTTATAAACATCAAGCCCTTTTCCCAAAGGCTCAGCGTTAGTCATTCCTGCTAACATTACATTATAATAAGGCAACGCATATCAACTCTCTATGCTGATTAAAACCGTGTGGAAGTTCCCTATAGATCTATGCAAATACTCTCTGGCCCACTGTCTATACCATTTATTTATGATGGAGGTGTTCCTCTGACAGTCTACTGCTGATACTGTACATAATAAAACTACAAACTTTTTAAATACTAAGAAATGCTGTTTTGTTTTGAAGGTCATTACTGAGAAAAACCATTACTTTGCGTAAACAAGAACAATAATATTTACTGACGACTTTTTTCCTTCGTGACAAGATCACTAAACAACCAAAAACTGTGACTAAACATACAAAGTGAAATAATGTTTGTTGGAAATGTCAAAAAGAGAGAGGCACATTTACTCATTTTATTTGAGAGTAAATAGCTTGGAACATTAATACTACTGTCACCAAGGTTATGCTTACTGCGTAATAGGGAACATATGGCAAATATTACAAAGGGAGAAGTCACAGATTATGGTACAGATTTCAGTGACGCTAGTTTCAACTTGAAACACTACAAAGCACCAAAAATTTCAGTTAAAATAAAGGTCCAAAAATTAAATATAGTCTTCGAGGTTCACTGATCAAATAAATTTAGTTGCCATTCTTGGCGCATGTCAAATCTCTGAAACTTGAACTATAGATTATATAGTTGCCCATCTTGCACTTTCAGTCTGTATCTTCCATATGAGTACTAGTGCTGATGTAGCACTAGCATACAACTCTTTCTTGACATAAAACCACAGGTTTGAAGAACGTGCCACCACAACCCCAATTTTCCCTTTTCTCTCTCTTTTAATGTTTTTGACCTCAACTTTCGTTACTGACCTGGGGTGCGTTTCCAAAAACCATTGTTAGCCAACTGAAGTCGCAAGTAACATTGTTACAAACATAGTTGGTTGATTTGGCATTTACCAAATACATCAATCCAATGGACATTCACAAAAAGCATTGCAAACTTGTACGCTTGCAACTACACCTCTGGAGCTGTAATTAGAAACATAGTTACTGGCTGTGTTCTATTGTGTTATCCTCCCTATGCACTATTCAATTTGAACGTTACAACATTTAAATTTTTTTATTTATTAATTATTATTATTATTATTATTATTATTATTATTATTTAGGATGCTTAGTAAATAGAATATTCCCATTAATATTTGTAAAGGAAACATATATAGGTCCTAGATGTGTCGTTTACATATACAGTATTACTTTGGAAAGCGAGTGCATGTTTTAACCAAAACTAATATTGGATTTTTTAAATGTGTGTACGTGTACAAAATATAATTTGCACAAAAATTATACGAATTTTCTCTAAAGAAGTAGTTACTCCACTCCATTTAGAGCATCATTAGGGGCCTTTTACGTTATAACTAACGTGGTTCAAACAATGGAGCAGCAACAGAGAAACTACGGTTTTGGGAAACACTGGTCACTACACGGTTCTTTCTTTCCCAAATGATGCATCGAACTATGATAGTTCAGCAGCGAGTTATGTTGTTGTTTGGGATACACAGCCCTGATTAATTTGTATAAATGAATGCACATCATAAACTGTTTATGCACATCATATACTGTGTGTTGAACAATGAGGGTTATAGTGTGGTATATTTATGTTTTAATAAATTTTGTACTGTTATATATATATATATTTTTCTATTTCTACTGTTATTTTTTCTTTTACTTTTGTTTGTTAACCATCACAATAATTGATGAATAAATCTTAAAAAAAAAAACAAAAAACAATGAGTCAATATAATGGCAAAAACAGCTTTGTGTGAACGCTTACGTTGCCAATTACATAATAAAGACAAACCAGAGGTAGATTGAACATAAACCGGTGACACATTGGGGCAGTGGGTAGCACAATCGCTTCAAAGCAAGAAGGTCGCTGGTTCAAGCCTCGCCTAGGTAAGTTTGCATATCTGTGTAGTGTTTACATGTTCTCCCCGTGTTCAGGTGGGCTCCGGTTTCCCCCACAGTCCAAAGACATAGGTGAATTAGGTAAGCTAAAATTGTCGGTAGCGTATTTGTATGAATCTTTTAATTCATTAGTTTTACTTATTTATTATAATTATTCATGCATTCATTCATTAATTTTCTTTTCGGCTTAGTCCCTTTATTAATCGGGGGTCACCACAGAAAAATTAACCGCCAACTTATCCAGCATATGTTTTACGCAGCGGATGCCCTTCCAGCTGCAACCCAACACTGGGAAACATCCATACACTCTTGCATTCACACTGCAGCCAATTTAGTTTATTCAATTCACCTAAGGCGTATGTCTTTGGACTGTGAGGGTAACGGGAGCACCCAGAGGAAACTTATGCAAACTCAGGGAGAACATACAATCTTCACACAGAAATGCCAACTGACCCAGCCGAGGTTAGAAGCAGCAACCTTCTTGCTATGAGGCGATTGTGCTACCCACTGCGCCACCGTGACACCCATTTTATTATTTTATTTACTTGTGTATGTGTGTATGTTTATGTATATATACATATATAAGAAGAGAAATCTATACATATATTTAAACTAACTAACAGCAGACAATGAATATTAAAGGCTGATTTATACTTCTGCGTCAACGCCGTAGCATAGCCCTTCGCTGTGGCACTAACGAGTCTGTGCGGGACCGAGAGCCGCGCGAGCGGCGCTAGCCCAATGGAGCGATTGTTTACAAGTGTGGAGTCCTGTGAAGAAGCTCCGGATGGAAAGTTTTGTTTTGTGTTTACCTCATAGTTAAAGTTGTTGCACATCCGCCGGTTTCTGCATCAAAATGAGCGAGTTTGGCCCCTATTTTACACTAATGCGTTTTAGTTTGAAAACGCATAAGTTTTGCTACAGTAATGCCGACCATCCACACTACGCTGGAGTTTGAGCGCCGAAAACGGAGCGTTTTGAAAACGCATTTTAAAACGCTGCTACTCCGTCTCAGTCTGGATGGGGGAAAACGGAGAATCTGAAAACGGAGGCGGGGCTGCAGACATTCGCCTATCTGATTGGGGCTTTTCCTCAATATTAAGTAGCCTAACGTTACATACAGTTCAGTCCTGCATCCTCTCCTTGTAAGTTCAGACTTTGCAAGTATGGTCAAGGCTGCAGTCTCGCCCTCCTCAGTTTGATATGGAAAAGAGACTACCGAGGACACAGGAAAATCTTCAAAGGGAACAGTGTACTTTATAACTTCATTCAGATCATCCTGGCTACGTTGTTTCACTTTTTCATCAATAAAATGTAAACATGATTTAAGGAACTGCCTATTTTCATTTTAATATTAGCAACTTAACGGACAGCAGAAATGTTGAGGCGTCGTGCTGCAAATATGAGGGTCATCTTTACTGTGTGGATATTTATTACAAAATGGAGCCTAGAATATCACTGCCTCCTTTCAAATTTCAGTGAAAATACGAAACATACCCTCTCTTTTGCTGAATATCAGTTTTAATCATCGATAATGGCCATTATAAAAGTATAACATAAAATAAGTTTATACATTACAGGAAACAAAGGCAAGCGATCAGTCAATATACAGAATAGGCTACGTTGTTACATTATATCTTTGCGCTTAGCCAAAACACGTTACCTGAGAACAAGTAATAGATTCCAATGACCAAAGTCGGGGAATATGTTGTTAGATATAGACAACAAGATGAATGAAATATCACATTTAACAAATATAGTGAGATTAGATCCAGCGGGAGATGCTTGATGAGCAGACCGCCTAGCACAGCTCTCATCTGGGTAGATGGGTGATGTGCGTTTTCAGCGTTTTGGTGTGGACGGAGAGCAGATCAGAAACGCTGGGTAAAACGCAAGTGTGGACACGGTTTCATTCGTTTTCATTCTAAAATGCCGTTTTAAAACTAAAACGCACTAGTGTAAACGGGGCCTAAGTCTCAAAAAAAGACTATTTAGATAGTAAACATATTTAGATCTTTAAGAAAATACTTTTTTGGAGGGTGTGAGGGGGGTGAAAAATGAAGGACATTGAGATGACAAAAACAGGCAGGTGAGTCAGGGTTAATAAGGACATTCTTTGTCTCCACAAAACAATAATCATTCCCATTCCTGCTCCCACACTTGCCATTATGCTAATAGATCCATTAAACAGAAACACGCCATTTAGCACCTTCCCTTCAACCTCCTGCCAGATTTCAGAAACAAATGAAATGATGTTTGAAAAAAAAAATACTTAAGAAATACAGAACTTTTCATTAGTTGAAATCAATTCTGGTCTTGAGAGGTTTCATTTCTTAGACAGAGCTCGCAGACGCTTTTTTGTGTGGGATAAAATATTACGTTTTTCTTAAACTAAAACTGATTTTGAATTGCAAATGCCCTTTCTGGTAGACTTGAGTAGTAAGAATGATTCATTTAGTACAAAAGTATTTACTCTCTTGTGGTAGATACTGCAAAGTCCTCTCTCGAGGTCGGGTAGACGAGTTAGCAAAGACTGGATAGAGGGAAGGACACTGGATTCAGAAGACAATATTTCAGCAACTGCCTCTTGTCGAGCTTGAATATCACTGATAAAGAGAGAGAGAGGTAAAGGAGATTTAAGAAACAGAATAAACATGCAAAACATCAGCAATTTTTAAAAACAGATAGAAGATAATATTCCCTGTATGACACAAAACATACAGGCATTTTCATGGAAATGAACAGTTAATGCCACGATATTATACTGTACATCTCAATTCAAAAACGCTCCCAAATATGCCTGTTAAGATGTTTGGCAGGAAAATATGTAGATTAAGATTAAATTATTGTTACATGGAATCAAACATAATCGGATCTTTCCAAAGCATGCACGACGTCACATGCAGATCCTAAACAACCCTTTAAAAGCCATAAAAAGATAGCATTTGACCGACAATGCCATGCCAGTGTAATTCTGGGGGATGAAAACATAAATACTGTATATGTGTCGTAACAAAAAATGAAAAAATCTTAGATTAAAAACTTCCATTTGACAGCAGTTTATCTTTTTTGGACATGCAACATCCATGGGGGATTTTTTCTTTTCAATCCAGACAGACCCAAATTGTAATCCGGGCAGCAGCTGGGAAGAAGGGTGCAAAGTTCCTCCATTTGCAAAATAATCTAGGACTTGGATTAACCTAGTGAGTTTATGAACCCACTATTATCTGTGGTGGTGCATGGGACAGAAGGTTATTTTAGTACATTAAAACTGAAACTATTGGTTTAAAAATCATTTCCGTTAACTGAAATAAAATTAAAAAAAGACAAAAAACAAAAACTAAATTAAACTGTCTAATACTAAAGTCACTGAAAAACTAGCTGGATAAAAAATAATAATCAGAAATCATAATAATCATTTTTAGAGTGAACAAGCCCTCATTCTGTGTCAGAATTAGTGCCTTTTTTAGTGGAAAAACCTGTGATGGCTCTCATACGCTTTGTTTAAACATCAAACATGCTCTATCTTTTCTCCATATGCCAAAATAATGTAAACTAGGCATGTTTAATCACAAATATGATCTTTTAATATAAAAAAGTTTGTCTGAATTCTTCAAAACAAGTTACTTTTATTAGATTAATGGCCTGTTTCAACAGAGAGGTATAGTACAGTATGGTCAGTATGGGTCACCTTTATCAGGCTTGCATTTCCACTGCCAAAAGGGTGTCTCCGATATGTTCCTAATTACAGTAAAACTACACCCAACATACATTTAGTCCTTATTTGGGTTGAAAAACTACATGAAATATAACTCCCAGTCAGTGCAAACCTCTAATATATGTTTTTAATCTTCACCAACACATGGAACATCACATTAGAAAGTAACATTCCCATTTCATAATAGTCTAAAAGGTGATGATAATAGTTAAACATGGCAGTTTGTTCATGTTTTAGGTTGAAGAAAGCCTGAATTGCTGCTCTGGTTTTTCCGGCTTCTCCTTAGTTTTTTGGCGTTTCACTCTTGCGTTTGTCCCTTTCTGAAAGGATTGGATGTCTGAAGCACTTCAATGATCATGCGCACGTTATCAATATGAGATTAAGAAGACGTGCAGCAAGCTCTCTGGAGAAAGCGAAACCGCTCACACTTTTAGATGAGCTTGTAAAACAACAACAGCACATGGCAGATTTTGTCTTTCTTGGCTTGTGGCTGGTCATTAACACAAGGACAAGGTTTGTTTGAGCTCAGGTCGACCATGGCTTGTTATTATATGTGTGTTATGGTGTAATGTCTTGGCTGTGTTTTTAAAATTGGCGGTTCCTTTGTTTTCATTCTCCTGCTTCTGCGAGTGACGCTTCTCTTTAAACTAGTAGCGTTTAGCTGTTTTTTCTTTTTTTTAATAAATATCCTACTGTAAATTACAACCATTACCAATTTATAAATAGGATTATAATACGCTTAGTACAGTATAGTGGTTTAGTATATAGAATATTCTCAATAATAATTGTAAAGGAAACATATATAGGTCCTAGATGTGTTGTTTACATATGTTACTTTGGAAAGCCCAAAACTAATATTGGATTTTATAAAAATTTGTATGCGTGTAAAACAATACAATTTGCACATAAAATTATGAGAATTTACTCTGATGAAGTAGTTACTCCACTCCGTTTAGTGCGTCATTAGGGGCCTTTTACGTTATAACGAACGTGGTTCAAACGACATATTAAATAATAAGGACAAAGCAGAGGTCCCTGTGTGAATCCCAGTAAATATCTCTTGTAAAACAATTTAAAATTACTCACCAGGTTTTTTTGCTAATATTGTACTGTTGTCCATATTAAACACTGAATACATCCTGGCTTTACATTTAGTAAGCCTGCCAGTGATCATTTGTAATGCGTGTTTGTAATATTTTGTTGTGTACCAGAGAAAAACAATAAAAAAAATTTAAAAAACATACAAAGTGGCTGACAAAAAAGGAAGAGACAATAATGTATTTTAAAATAATTAAACCCTCTAAATCTATAAGGTTTCTCTACACCAGGGGTGTCCAAACTCGGTCCTGAAGGGCTTCAACACACCTGCACCAGAAGTTTCTAGTATATAAGAGCTTGATTATCTGGTTCAGGTGTATTTGATTAGGGCTGGAGCTGAACTCTGCCGGACACTGGCCCTTCAGGACCCAGTTTGGACATCCTTGCTCTACACTAAAAAATGCTGGGTTCCACACAAATCCTTTATGTTGTCCCAAGTTACCTGTTTTTGCAAATTTCAGTGGATTGAACATGTCTAGCTCCGCCTAATGGTACCTTTCTGTCATGCTTAGGTACCCTTTGGTATGGTTTGTTTTTAGGTACCTTTTGACAGTAGAAACAGCCATAAAAGTGTATACCAAACCATACCCCTCAGTGGAAAAGGGCCATAAGCTGCATTTGCATAATTTTAAGTTCAGTTCAAAAAATAATTTAACTACGCAAACATTAAACTTTTCTTTGGTTGACACTGGATGTAGAGGTCTGCATTCCCAAGCCAACCAAATATCTTGCAACGTGGATTTAATTTTTTAATATAGAACCCAGTGGCATTCGTAACTCTGGTGTAATTTGAAAAGGAGCAGGGGGTCAAACAAAAGACGATCCTGTCCCCGATGTCCTTTCAGAAAAGCATATCTGCAAGTACAAGCCAAGATTGAGGCTATCATGTCCTTCCCAGTTCCTTCCATTTGTCGCAAATTATAGTGCTTTCTGGGAAAGGCGGGATATTATCGTAGTTTCTGTTAAAGCTTTTCAACAGTAGGTTCTCCTCTCAGTAGTTTTGGCTGCTCCAGTGTATGACGGGTCATTCAAATTGGCTGTTGATGCTAGTGATGTGGGGGTGGGTGCTATGTTATTGCAGGATGGGCTTGATGGAGTTGAGCACTCAGTGTGCTACTTTTCAAAAAAAAATTCAAAAACATCAACATTTAAAGGGCACCTATGGTAAAAAAAAAAATCTACTCTTCAAGCTGTTTGGACAGACATGTGTGTAAGTACAGTGTATATGATATAAACACACCCAGTCCTTTTTTTCAATTCAACAACAAAAAAACGGTGGACCAATTGGAGAGGTTTTCAGACCGACCTCAACTTTACGTAGGAGTGTGGTCCCCCCACCCACCAATATTGATTGACAGCCTCGCGTCACGAGCATATCCGCCATTTTCAGTGTGTGAGTCAAAGCGATATCACTAAAGGAACACCCTTGCTCTATTTTTTTGATGAAAGGCTCATTGGGTTCAACACAAGATCAATATTCTCCACATTATCACTGTAATCGAATGTGTGGCGAAGCATCGGGTCAGTGGCTCGGCACGGCGTGGGTTTCTGTCAGGGTGCAAGCGGCGGAGCTTCGGGTCAGCGGCTCGGCACGGCGTGGGTTTCTGTCAGGGTGCACGCGGCGGAGCTTCGGGTCAGAGACGCGGTGCTGTTGTGTTTGCCCTGGTGGAGTGAATTCAGTGTGTGTGGTTATTAGTCTCGTTGTACATGCTCGGCACTTATACACCGAGACTATACAAAGACACAAATGATTTTGTACTCTCTGCTTGGTCTGTGTGTGACTTGTACATGTGCGGCTGAATGCTCATCCTAGCTTAGCTTCTCTCTGTCTGTCAGCCTGTCTGTTGTAAACAAAGAGCGTGGGAGCTCTTGGCTCCGCACCCTTGTTACGTTGGGCGGGAAGCTGAAACTGTGAAGCAACACGCCCCTAAAACAGCAAACTGTGTAAACGCCCCCAACATGACACTTTTAAACACATTATAATAAAAACATCTGAACTGCGTGTTGAACTGAACCTAAACTGGCACATTTAGAAGAACCATAATATTAATATTAAATCATAATAAAGGGGTAAACTATGTTCCCTTTAAAAGGGAAGCTCTGGTATTGGATTTGGTCCTCAACAATTTTGACGTTTATATTGGATCTTCATCCTATCCAATTACTATCTAAACCAGTCACGACCCTCTCATCTTCATTGATAAAATGTTACTTTGGTCTCTCGCTCATTTCTCCACGCCACCACAGTTTCTGACGGCTTAATTGTTGTGCTCTCCTTTATAATTTCCTTTTGATTATTGTTTGGGGTATAGAGTCCCAACCTGCTTTAGGTTTCATTCATTTATTTTCTTTCCAGCTTAGTCCCTTTATTAATCTAGGGTCACCAAAGCAGAATGAACCTAAACTCCACACAGAAATGCCAACTGACCCAGCCGAGGCTCGAAAAAAGCGACCTTCTTGCTGTGAGGCTAACGTGCTCCACACTGCGCTACTGTGCTGCCCCTTTATTTGCTTTTTAGATCATTTATCTGATTATGTTAATAAATAATTTAGTTGAAGCACATTGCACGTTGTTTATTTATGTTATGTTTTCTCAGGATCACGAGTCGTTCTTAAGTAGGGGTCGTAACAGCTTTACACTGGATTTATAATTTAGCCTGGCTCTGCACCAGCCTTCCCTGACTGAGAGCGCACAGTCGTGAGTTGTGGAGGATTTTCATTACTTACATATCGACCGCAAGTAGCCTCAACTTATAGGTAGGACTGTTGCCACACACTGCACAGGTGGACCAGGTCTTTCTGCTTCATGTATTTGAAGTCTTTGCAATTAGCATGTGCAAAAAAGCCATCAGACAAAACAGGTTTTTCGATGAGTGACTGAGACAAAGTGTGGATGAACTGACCTTGAAGGGCGTTTAAGTTGAAATTTCAAAAAGTAAGAAACAAAGTTTTACTTTTTTTCTTTCCGAGACACTTTTCCTATTGTGAGTGTGATAATTTAAGAAAACACATTATTGAACAATCTACATTTCTGATTGTTATCTTTTTCTTTTAGTATAGTGGCTGGTGAAAATGTAAATGTAAGATTGAGGAAACAAGATTTAAATATAGCAGGAATGGTCAGGTCTGGAAGAAAACTGTTCTAAACGAACAGCAGATGAACAAAGAGTAAATAAATAGCAGGAGCGATTAGATTCGGCATAATAACTAGTGAGAGCAAGACTGGAAAAAAAAAAAAAAAAAACAGTCCCGCACAGAATTCTAACTGGATGTGTTAAGTTACTGGATGTGTTCAGGTTGGTACACACCAAGTTGACCCCAAACAAATCACAGATGAAACCCAACTGTATTGTCGCCTCACATCTTGTTTCGTCTGGACCAAAAAGCTGCGTTTGAGCACACCAAATGGACGAAAGCTGATTTAAGATTGTGAATTCTGTGGCCGTAGGAGAATTCAGCACCCACCGAGGGCAGTATCTGTGCTCTTGTTCACAAAAGGAAACCTGACCTTCCGATGTGGTAACACTTTATATTGATGGTCCACTGGAGTATTAGTGGACCGTCTGCTTAATATCTGCTGATACTGCACCTTTAACAGACATTTAACTGACTATAAGAAACTTTGCAAGTTAATGTCAGTTTACATTAGCCCAAACCCCAACCTAACAGTTTACTTACAATCTAATGAGAATTAGTTGGCATGTAGATGCAAATGTCAATTAAATTCAACAAACGGAACATCAAAATAAAGTGTGACCTCCGATGACCCCATGCAAAAAGTAACCAAAGCAGAATTAGTACCATAATCATAGTAACTGTCACTCACTACAGAGGGATTCGCTCTTACACATATGTCTGATAATCAAGTAATTCATCTCGTTTTCCAATATTTGAAAAATGTAGCAAAATTACAGCTGGCCTCTTTGTGTTGCTTCATGACTTGAATTGTTTTCTTTCAATGCCACTTTCAAGTGTGCTGCATGACTCCTCTTGAGTGACGCTCCTGGCCGTTAGATCGCCCCTTGTGGGCTGACTGCAGTACAAGTCATAAAGCCTGCCTCCCCCATGTTAACTAATAAGACTTGTTCCAAAACCAAAAAATAAATTACACTTACAATACATTTTCAGGAAAGGATGGTTTTGGTCAATTGAGGCACTGGTTATTATGCTGATATAAGTGCAGATCTTTATTTTTGTAAACAGTATGTTTTTAGCCAGTAATTTATTGCTATAAAAACAGGGTGTGTCACCGTGATTGACAGTTGAGATTGACAGCTATTCTAAGCAGACCGTCGGAGCTTTGAGAGGAGACTGAAGTACTGGTTAAAGTTTTACCATGATTAAATGAGTTGATCAGCAGTAAACTATTCTTTTAAACATACAGAATCTGATGGATCTGATGGTTATATGTGGGCTTTTATTTGCTGATACAAACTGAACTTATCATGTCAGGGAAAACAGGTGATCATTATCTAGCAGTAATACTTTCTTATGGGTCTGAAACTGTTTTTCAGCCATTACAGATCTCCAGATTGATCTCCTGTAACGTTATTTGAACTTCATTTACAGCACATCTCTGACATTGAGTTTCTGCATGTTGTACAGTTAATATACTGAATTTGCCAGATATAATTTAAGGCATCGAATAAGCCAAATGAAAACAGAGGTAAAGAAAAAATAATAAACAATGTACAAGCAATGTTATAGCAGCTGATAGACAGCAGTTGACGTATTTATACTGCTAAGTTTGTTGTACAACTTGACAAGGATTATTTTATATAGTGCTGGGATGTGTAAATATCCTGTTGATATTCAGAAATAGTGCTGTATCTTTTGCAAATATGAACGCTTGATTTTCCCCCCTTGGCAAATAGCGGTCCATGATGTGTATATTTTAGCTCCATTTGTTTGTTAATTAAAAATAAAAAACCTTTCTAAAATGTATGTGTTGTTTATATGTATTTTTTTATATATTTTACAAACATTCTAACCCTATAACGATAATAAATAACCAAAAACCCACTATAAGAGAAACATTTTTTCACATTAGTCTAAGTCATGCTAAAGTTTATGAAAGACTATAAACTATAGTTTATTTCTGCAGTCCAACATATATTGTATTCATTAAATTATTAAAAACAGCTTACATCACACAGTTTTTTTTTTAAATTGCATATTATTACGTGTTTTTAATATAAGTGCTTATATCTATTTATGGAATAAAAGGAGCCTTTGTTATAGTGCAGATACAGGCGGTCAAATGAGAAGTTTGGGAGTTGATTTGATGTACAAGTGTTTAGTTGGAAGTTTAAATCCGTGGCTCCACTTCTGGCTCCATCATGCAGTACTGCTGCGCATGCCCAGGCTCCAATTTCAACAGTTTTTTTTGCAACAATTAGTGCCCGTCATGAAGTGTTTTGCATTCAAAGCATTCAATGGGACAAGGTGCTGTCGCGTTGTCCATATTTGGTTGTCATTGGTCACTTTACAATGCCATGCTCTGATTCATTGCTGAATAACCAGTCAAAGCATTTTCTTCAGCTAATGCCGATTTGACATGCTGAATTAGGCCAACGAGCTCCCAATGTTACCCTGACAAGGTGTACCATAGCCTTAATTACAAACATTAACTAAACTTGTAAATAAAAATAAAAATGTGTTAAAAATAAAAAACTACTCTAAAACTAAGTAAACCATGAATAAGCTGAACAAAGTAATCAGAAATTTACAGTAAACTTAAAAATAATACTGAAATAAAAACAAATTTTAAAAATGCAAAACTGTAACAGGCTCCAAGGAAAGATCTGAGCTCGTCACTTCTGTTAGAATCTACAAACAATGGGCATTTTCCATGCTTGCATCCAAATCACAGCGATTACATGATAATGAAATGAAATAATGACTCACATGACAGACTTGAGCGGCTGGCTCACCCACTTTCTCAACAGTCTCTTCCCAAATAGAGTCTGAGTGTGATCCAGAACCCAGAGCAGACTGCCTTTTACTGAACCTGTGGTCTGGCAGCACAGAAAAGTGAGCCATCATGAAGCACAAACCAGCATAAAAGATAATGGATTCATCACATGGTTAATAATACTCAAATGACTGTGTTATTCTCCAGGCGGCTTCTGACAGAGAGAATGATATCATTTCATCTATTATGTGTCCTTATATTTATTACATCATGAAACTACATAAAAGACTGTAAAGCTGAGAGGTGATGTTATGATATTATGACCTGATTTAAAGTTATATTTTTTTACAGATCCGTCACATTGTAATGGATACTGTATCGGTGTAAGCCAGGGGTTTTCAAAGTCTAAAACAGCGGGCCTCCCTTTTGACACAACTTTTGCATTGGCGCCCCCCTCCTCCCAAACACGCACACACACACACACACACACACACACACACACACACACACACACACACACACACACACACACACACACACACACACACACACACACACACACACACACACACACACACACACACACACACACACACATATATATATATATATATACACACTATATATGAAGACACAGACAGATGTCAGACTGTTAACTCACTTTTATCATCATTTGCATAAAAGTGCAATTATTTACAGAGTAATAACAAGTATTTTAATATAACGTTTTTAAAACTAGGATGATGGTTAATATGAATAGAACAGATCAAAGAACTCCTCATCCCAGTCAAAAAAGTCGAAGTTTAGCGGGTCTCATGCTGTCATTAGCCAAAATATCTTGACAAACCACACTTAAAGGTCGTGGTTCATCAGCTGTTCCTGTCCACGTAAATCCTAAACTCAAATACTGATCATCATATCGTCGTCTTTTGGGTTTAAGCCCTGAACTTGAAGGCTTTGAATCGGGGGGGTCTCAGAAACCGATCCATTGCAGGCACATGCACACATAAGGCTCAACCAGGGCTCAACCTGTGCAGTGCACATGCCCTTTTTAGTCCTGGATAGAAAGTGCCCTTCCAAAATGATCAAAAGTGCCCCCCGCGACGCGGCACACCCTCGGTCCCGCCCTTCAGTAGGCGTGCGACAACACCGCTCTTGAGCGTGCGCGCGACAACACAGCTGATCAGAACGTGCGTCACAATAAACTTAATTAAACTTAATAATTATATTTTTATTATATATTTTTCCCGCGCCTCCCCTGACATGCTCTGGCGCCCCCCAGGGGAGGCGCGCCTCACACTTTGAAAACCCCTGGTGTAAGCAAACAATGTGCCTGCCAATGTAAAACTGATGTGTAATAATCACATAAAATTCGGAAGGTCCGTTTTTTAGACAAATGGCTTATGGCGGCATTTAACCTGCCAGATACTACAGTACTGGCTAATTCAAATATATTACTCTAGTTGTTCTGTTACCATAGCAACTATACAAAACTTCCACAACAGAACAATTAAAGTACTTCACTATAGCTTGGTTTATAGGGATGTAACGATTCACCATCAGCTGGCTGAAAATTGGTTCAAATATATGATAATTCAAACCGGTTGAAATGTTGAATGCATAGCATATTTTGAACAAAAGAGGGGGCTGTGTTTACTGGTGCAAACTCGCTCAAAACCAGGTATTAGATTGTTCTTGTTCTTCTCTTTCTAAATTTAGTGTATGCATATTTTAGTAATTCGCTTATTATATCAAATATACAGTGCATCTGGAAAGTATTCATTGCGCTTCACTTTTTCCACATTTTTATTTTTATTTCATAATGACAATGTGAGAAAAGATTTTTTTAAATTGTTGCAAATTTCATCCAATCAGTAATTTTCTTTTCAGCTTATTCCCTTTTATTAGTCTGGGGTCGCCACAGCAGAATGAACCGCCAACTTATCCAGCACATGTTTTACGCAGCGGATGCCCTTCCAGCTGCAAGCCATCACTGGGAAACATCCACACACACTCATTCACACACATACACTACGGACAACTTAGCTTACCCAATTCCCATGTACCACATGTCTTTGGACTTGTAGGGGAAACTGGAGAATGTGGGACACGGGGAGAACATGCAAACTCCACACAGAAATGCCATCTTACCCAGCCGACCCCGAACCAGCGACCTTTTGCAATGAGGCAATTGTGCTAACCACTGCACCACCTGTTGCAAATCTATCAAAAATAAAAAACCTGAAAAATACATGTAGATAAGTATTCACAGCCTTTGCACAATACTTTGTTGATGAACCTTTGGCAGCAATTACAGCCCCAAGTCTTTTTGAATATGATGCCACAAGCTTGGCACACCTGTCTTTGGGAATTTTTACCCATTCCTCTTTGCAGTTCCTCTCAAGCTCTATCAGGTTGGGTGGGAAGCAACTGTGTAGAGCCATTTTCAGATCTCTCCAGAGATGTTCAATAGGATTTATTTCTGGGTTCTGGCTGGGCCGCTCAAGGACAATAACAGAGTTGTTGTGAAGCCACTTCATTGATATTTTGGTGGTGTGCTTTGGGTCATTGTCCTGGAAGATAAACCATCGTCCCGGTCTGAGGTCAAGAGCACTCTGAAGCAGGTTTTTATTCAGGATGTATCTGTGCATTGACGAGTCTTCCAGTTCCTGCTGCTGAAAAACATCAACACAGCATGAAGCTGCCATCCCCATGCTTCACTGTAGGGATGGTATTAGCCTGGTGATGAGCGTTTCCAGGTTTTCTCCAAACGTAACACCTGGCATTTAATCCAAAGATTTCAATTTTAGTCTCATCAGACCAGAGAATTTAGTTTTTTATGGTCTTAGAGTCCTTCAGATGCCTTTTGGCAAATTCCAGGTGGGGAGTGGCTTCCGTCTGGCCACTCTACCATACAGGCCTTATTGGTGGATTGCTGCACAGATGGTTGTTCTTCTGTAAGGTTTTCATCTCTCCACAGAAGGAGCTCAGACAGAGTGACCATCGGTTATTGATCACCTCCCTGACTAAGGCCCTTCTCCGCCGATCACTCAGCGTAGATGGCTGGTCAGCTTTAGAAAGAGTCCTGGTGGTTCCAAACATCTTCCACTTACGGATGATGGAGGATAGTGTGCTCATTGGAACTTTCAGAGCAGCAAAAATTCTTCCGTAACCTTCCCCAGCCTTGTGCCTCAAGACAACCCTGTCTCGGAGGTCTACAGACAGTTCCTTTGTCTTCATGCTTGGTTTTGTGCTTTGCCATGCACCGTCAATCCTGGGATCTCATATATACAGGTGTATGCCTTTTCAAATCATGTCCAATCAACAGAATTTACCATAGGTGAACTCCAATTGAGCTGCTGAAACATCTTAAGAATGATCAGTGGAAACTTAATGTACCTGAGCTCACTCTAGAGCTTCACAGCAAAGGCTGTAAATACTTATGTACATGTGATTTTTCAGGTTTTTAATTTAAATAAATTTGCAACAATTTCAAAAATTGTGTAGAATGTTGAGGAAATAAATGAATTTAACTCATTTTAGGATAAGGCTGTAACATAAAAAAATGTGGAAAAAGTGAAACATTTATGAATACTTTCCGAATGCACTGTATATATTATAATCAGTATGTTATGCCAGTGGCCAGTCCCCAGGAGCAGAGGGGGCTATTGACCACCTCTGTACACACTGCTCTCTGACTGGTTTAGAAAAGGCTTTCCTCTCCACACCAGCCATATGAGTCCCCAGTGAAAGTTTTTTCATCAGCTGAGGACATTGTAAATGTGCAAAGACCTCAGCTTATGCCAGAAAACATACAAAATCTTTAAAAAAAAAAAAAAAAGTCAAATCCCAGCACAGTCAAAGTTTTAGTTTGTTTGTATTAAAGAGCCCTCTTTAATTTGTATTGTTCATTTTTTATTTGAAATTTGTTTACATTTGTAATGTAGTTGCACACAGTCAGAGTTTTAGTTTGTTTAAAGTCAAGAGTCTTCTTTAGTTTTAATTATTCACTTTGTATTTAGATTTTGTTTTAAAATAAAAATTTTGTTATTTCAGAAAATATTTTGTTTTAATAAAAACGGGCTCTTGTTCCTCTTAATTTTGTCTTAAATCCTTTTGTAAAACAATTGCGACAAGAACGTATATCATAAGATTGGTAACACGAATTGTATCGCATCGTGAGTCAAGTGACTTGTTACACCCCTAACAGTTTAAAAATAATATTATTATACTACTTACTATAAATTACAATAGTATTGTTTTTCCATGTTGGACTCCCCCTTTAACAAAATCCAGTCAAAAGGATTTTCAAGAAAATAATGAGGGACTTGTGTCAATGTAAATCTGTCAAAGCTCAGTGTGTGATTGGACAATCTGTAAACAATACACGTGTTGTGTATATTATTGCATCATCCATGTTTTCTCCTGTTTAACTTACCTGGTTGCACAAAATCTCCAGGTTCTTCATAGTAGCAGCACTGAGCAGCATATGGTCAGGATCACTTGATAGCCGCTTAAACGAGCTGCAAAAGATTATAAAAATGCTTTACATAAGCTATTATTTCATAAACACAACTTTGAAAAAAAAATAGTCAAACAGAACAAAGTATTAGGTGGTAAAATCCTATTTCAATTAATGAGGAATGCTAATTAAAGGGATAGTTCACCAAAATTGACAATTCTGTCATCATTTACTCACTCTTTACCTGTTTCCAAATCTGTTGACTTGCTTTCTGAACAACAAAAGAAGATATTTAAACTAATATGCTGGAGGCCTGTAACCACAGACTTCAATTGTATTTTTTTTTACTGTTATGGAAGCCAACTGTTACAGGTTTCCAGCCTTCTTCAAAATATATTTCATTATCTTCAACAGAACAAAGATTTGGAACAACTTGAGGAAGAGTAAATAGTGAGTAAATTTGAATTTTTGGGGATGAACTATCCTTTTAAGGCTCATCTAGAAAGCCTGTCAGACCAAGAGCTCTGATTTTTCTTTACAGAACGTCCTTATGTAGTCTGTAATTACAGGACATTTCGGATCATTCACACATTAGGGGTGACACTCTACAAGCATTAGGATTCAGATTCAGCTTTGTTTCATGCTGCTACAGTATACTTGTATAAATAGACACCCTGGTTAATACTTCTGTGTCTTGTGGAAGTAGGTGTGAGATGTCTACTTTAGGTGAGGAGGGAAAATGAGAGTTTGTCTCCTAATAGTTTTACACTATGCCACTGCTAACAGCTTAATGTGTAATGCGTAAGAAGCAAAAGCCAAAGAGAGAAAGAGAGAGAGAGAGAGAGAGAGAGAGAGAAAGAGAGAGAGAGAGAGAGAGAGAGAGAGAGACAGAGAGAGAGAACAGTGTAGGTGTAGCAGACGCTGACTCATTCAGGAAATACACAATGAGTTAACACTCTGTTGAGTTCACTGTATTATCATCTCAATATCCATAATTATTATTACACTCCAAGCACCATTAATGCAGAAATGCAAACTAACAGAACTATTTAACAAAAGTCTTGTCGTGGTTCCCAGTTGTAAGAGCAACAAATAATAACTTGACTTCTAGTTGATCATTTGGAAAAATGACAGAAGTTAGATTTTCCCAATAATCATCTGTTGAACTGCATCAAAATCATCACAAATACTGCAGAAGACCTACTGGAACCCACATAAGATTCTTAGTCATCCAAACTCATAGAGGTCATACAAAATATAAATTCTTTTTCTTATGCACCATGAATTTATATTCTATACTGTACAATATTTCTGTTAAGTGATAAGACTTTTGTCTAGGCAAAGTCAGACCTTACTGTCCTAATGAAATAATTAAAAATCAAGGCATAATCATATTTTATTTGGGTGAAATAAGTGTAATCTAGAGGCATTTGCCTTTCATATAAGCCACTTCTGATACCAAACGATCAACTAGAAGTCAAGTTATTAATTGTTGCTCCTAAAACTTGGACAGGCGACAAGACTTTTGTCAGGTAGTGTATACACATAAATCATACAGCATTTTTTTCTGTCATGGAAAATAATCATAATTTTAATATTTTGTATCCAATGTGTGAATGAGTTCATGGGTTTCCCAGTACTGGGGTTTCAGGAGCTAATGGACTCTCAGTGCTGGGTTGCAGCCTGAAGGTCATCCGCTGCATAAAACACATGTCAGAGTAATTGGCAGTTCATTCTGCTGTGGCAAACTGTGAGACATCAGAGACTAAGACAAAATATAGTGAGTGAGTTTTTGTATCCACTTAGAATATGCTTGGATGTTTATCATCTATTTTACATGATGCAACTGTTTGTTTAAGTTATTTTCTTAATTTCTTTTTACTTCTAATCAATGAAAAACCAATGAAAACTGTTGCATTTAGTCTCCTGCATGTTACATGTGCACAAGTGCAAGCAGTAAGATGGTGATAAGCCACTGGTTTTGTCACGATCACCAGTGGTCTAGCGGTTGCAGACTTCTGGAGAACTACACATCTGTCACTGAACTGGACTACAAATACTATCATGCATCTCACACACACCAGCTCCTGATAACTGCTGATTGCTCACACACAGCTGTAAGCTCATGACAGATTAATTACCAGAACTATTTATGCATCTCACTCACACATAGACTTTGCTGAGTCTTGTTTTTCTGTAACACCATGAGGCGTTTCTTTGTCTAGTCCTTCCATGTTTTAATCCTTGCCTTGTTTTACTTTTGATTTTGATACTTTGTCACCTGTATTGACCTCTTTGCCTGTGACTTTGACTACGCTTCGGGATTACCCCTATGATACTCTTTGTACCCGTTGACCGTTGCTTGCCTGACCATTCTCTGTTAATAAACTGCACGTGGAGTGGACACTCAACTCTGTTGTCCAGCATGTCATTAAACAATGGTTTAAAAATATTTGCATCAAACTGTAAATTGGAAGCTTGGAGATTAGATCTTAAGGAGGATATTTCTACAGAGGACTGGATGAAGACATGTAAGGAAGCTCAGTCACTAAGAATGAACACTCGTCTGAAACTGGTACAATATAAATGGTTGATGAGGATTTACATAACTCCAGTTTTATTGCATAAATATAATGAAAATATTTCAGATACTTGCTTGAGGTGCAGGGACCATAAAGGAACATTGTATCACTGTATATGGACATGAAAAGGAACACAGAACTTTTGGAAAGGAGTGAAAGAAATTATAAAAAATATTCTTGAGGTTAATAAACCAATGTCAACTTTAATTTTTTTTTTTATTTCACTTACATCCCAAGGAGTTCAAGTTAAAAAAGACGGAGCATATATTTATGAATATATGTATTCTAAAAGCGAAACGACTTATTTCTTTAAATTGGAAAAGTATATGTGCATCAACTATAGGCTGTTGGTTGAAAGAGATGGTAACAAACAAGACAATGGAAAAACTAACTTACATGATAAGAAATTAATACATAATTTTTGATAGAGTTTGGAGGCCTTTTATGCTTTTTTTAAAGATGGTGGATTTGAAATTGTTTACAGGAAGATTAGTAACAGAGATGATATTGTATTCTGATGTAAAATACTGCGAACCCTTTTGTTTTGTTTGTTCATTTGTTGGTTTATGTTAAATCTGACACATGGAAATGTCTATGTATATGTTAAAATATAATAAAAAGCAATTGGGGAAAAAAAACACTTGAATGTGTGATATGGTCAAACCCTGTTTCTTTAAAGGCATAGTTGAACCAAAAATAAGAAAGGTCATCCAAAATGTATTTGACTTTCTATTAAGAAGCACATTAGAGAAGACTTTAGCTATATCTGTGGTCCTTGGCCATTCAAATAATGGTAGTCCATGGTTACTGTTTTTTATTAAAAAAATAAACATTTTAGGTACTTAATTAAGTCATAGCCATGGTTCCTGGCCATCCACTGATGGCTTGTGAAGTAAAATGATCAGTCTATGAAGGAAAACAAACATTATTTACAGTATTATTACAATTAATTCATAGCCTGGGTAAACAGTTCTCGATACACGAAATGGTGGTGAGCGCGATCTTCTGGTCACTTGATGACGTATGTATACAAGCATGCACTCAGATGCACGTTAGTTTATCGCAAGGAGTGTAATTTATAGCAGATGCTTCATCTTAGACCATTACAGGTAAGAATTATAAAAAAATTTACACCCTTGCTTCCATCACAAGGACTGCTTACTAAGGTTATGGATTAAACTATGGATTATAGAATTGTAAATTATGTTCAAGTTCTTGCACCTGCATAAGACCTCAGTATATCAATTAGGAATCACAGGAAATGATTTGGACTTGTCTGTATTGCTGCTTCTGAAACTCGAGTAGGCCTACATGACCCCTACAAAATGCATTCTATGTAGTATGAACATGAATAGTTTGAATGGAATTTGGTGCGTAATCTATTCACCATTTGTAACTATCACATGATGAACTTCACTCCCAATCATGAGCTCTCTTGCGTGGCATCATATGATAATGTAGTTGCCATTGGATGCACACTACAAAATCTCACTAAAAGTAGTATGTCATCCGGGTACTCCTCATCTTCTGTTTTTCGGATACTATGAATTCAGACACACTACTCTGCTCACATACTATATAGTAGGGAGGTATGAGATTTCAGACGCAGCAAATGTGTTTATTTTTAATCCCAAATGAGTGACCATCCAGTGCCAATAGTCTCCTGTGTAGTGTGCCAACATATATTGCAAAAAAATATGTGGGCATCCCAAGTTCAAATGCTTATTCTTAGACCATTCCTAGTTCCATCCCTCTCTCTCTCTCTCTTTCAATGTTTGGTCACACTTTATTTTGATGGTCCGTTTGTTGAATTTAACATACATTGTATCTATGCGCCAACTAATTTTCATTGGATTCGAAGTAGACTGTTAGGTTGGTTAGGGTTAGAGTTGGGGTTAGGGTTAATGTAAGTTGACATGAACTTGCAAAGTTTCTAGTCAGTTAAATGTCTGTTGAAGGAGCAGTATCAGCAGTTATTAAGCAGACAGTCTACTAATACTCAAATGGACCATGAAAATAAAGTGTTACTCTGTTTCTTTCTGTCAATAAATACTGTTCTGTCATAAATCAAAAAAAAAAAACACACACAAAGAGTGACCATTGACTTGAATTATATGAATCACTATGGACCATGGAATAAGTTAAAAATCTTAAGAAACAAAAGTCACCATCTTCAATGGCCTAAGGATGAGTAAATTATCTGTAAAAGTTACATTTTTGGGTGAACAATCAAAAGCTTGGCATTATAAGGTGTAAGGTGCATTACCTGGAACACAGTAAAATCTTCTCTAACTTAAACTCAGTCAGATATTGGATCACAGGACCAAGACAGCAGATAATTGGGCTCTCCAGACCCATGCAAATAGAGTAGGAACCTATTTAGAAAGACAAATAAAAGCAATAATGTATTCACTACATTGATCAATTGTACTGACAAATCTGCTTTGTGTTTTTAGCAAAAATGGTCTGGAGCAATATTTTTTTCTATTTTTTTTGGAAACCATAAATTCACACTGTGATAAACTGTCAAACCTTTATAAAATACCATTACAACTCTATTCTTACCAAGAAAATTGTTGATTGTCACATCAGTACATTTTAAAATAGACTTGATATTTCAGTACAAGTGTTTTCCTAAGCCCCTATTTCCAGGAAAATGACAGATGGCGATTTAAGACAATGATTAAGCTAAAGACTTGTTGCTTGTCCTCATTTTTTAATCAAGCGTATTAAAAACACAAAGCGCATCAACAACACACATCAGCACTTCAGTGATTGTGGTGGAAGTCTGTTGTGTGGCATTAATGGTTTCTGAACAAGAAAAATAGGATATTAAGTCCCAGTCTTCACAGGAAAAGCCACCAACCCTTTGTCCTAAACATGTCCAGCCTAAAGGACAACAGGCATTGATCTACAACCCTTTCTGCCCACAGGCAATGATTTTTCAATTAAACACACTGACCTCACATCTGTTTGGGCAGACATCTCTATCCAAAAGACCAGCCGATGATTCACCATGACTGGAGGTCAGGCATCAAAAGACAGACAGGAGACAAAGATAAAGCTATTTACCCTTTTCATGATTTCTTGCAGCTGAATGAGGGCCGCCTCTGTAGAAGTCTTTGATTATGCTCAGTGCAGTTGGGTATTCAAACATGGCGCTTTCTCGTTTCTCAATGCGAATTCTGTCATCTGCTTGGACACTACAAGAGCAGAGGAAAAAGGAGGAGGTTAACATAAGACTACAGAAAACTATATCAGGTAAACTTCTGGATGAACAACAGATGTAGCATTACATATGGTAGATTTTGTGTACTCTATGACAAAAAAAATTAAAACAGGTGCTTTCGTACCAGGTAGTTATAGGAACTAGTCAAGCAAGGGTTCCTCTTGACCACAGGCATCAAAGCCAGTTCCTGGAGGGCCACATCTCTGCACAGTTTAGCTTTAACGCTAATTAAACACACCGTATAAAACTAAATAAGTCCTTCTAGATTGTTTGAAACCTACAGAGAAGTGTGTTGACGAAGGGCTGGAACTGCGCACTGTTTGAGTTGCACTGCAATATCACTTCCAAAATGCTAGGTGGCGGTTGGCTTTCATGTTTCGAGTTTCTTCTCTGGTGCTTTTTTTTAATGCTACCTTAATGTAGAAGTAGCTCAAACTCGCTCATTTTGAGGTGGGAACCTGCGGATGTTCAACAACATTAATCATAAGGTAAACACAAAACAAAACCTTCCATCTGAAGCTCCTTCACAGGTCTAGACACTCGCTCCAATGGGTTTGCACGGCTGTTGGTCCCACCCACACTGATCAGCACTACCAAGTTGACCAATAAGTGCTTGCGCTACGTGTCGTTGCTACGTGTAGTTGAATTTTTTAAGAAGTGCGCGTCAGCATCGGCGACCGCCATGGCAAGGGCTATGCATTCACTTGCAGGGTGCACCGGAGCACCTTTCGACACCGGTGCTTAAGACCATTTTTTTTTTGAATTCAACTATGAACTGCTGGAAGAGTTATTTTAATAGAAGTTCATACCGCATGCTGAATGGAAGAAAAAAAAGCTCCACATTTCATGATGCAGGTGTCTGTGGTCTGCACTGACTCTGTAGGTGCAAAGAGTGTCAAACAGCCATATGTGTGTATGTACTATCCTGTCGCAAAATGCGGCGAAAAGCCCTACATGACAGTAAGAGTTTGATTAAGGTGTTCACATGTCTGTAATGCACTTTAATAATGTGACTAAAATCAGTATATTCCACAAATCTTAATTCGATTTCTCTTTAGTTCGATTTTGACCCTAATTTGATTAAATTAATTAAAAAAAAAAAAAAAAAAAAATCGCTGTTTACATGGTTGACTCTTAATAAGAGTATTGTCTTAATCGCATTAAAATCGAATTATTGGTGTCCATGTAAACGTAGTCAGTGCCAGTAAGTGCTACACTTAACAAAACCAACAGATGAAGGAACTTCTCAGCACCATGGACCCTGGTTTGGTGGGTTTGGGGGGGTTGGTCAGGGTTTTTTTTTCTCATTGATATAACTATTTTTATAAAATCTGAATAGCTAAATATTGATTATCGAAATATCTATTATAAGTACTGGGACTAGTACTGGACCAAACCATCACTAGCAAGGGAGGCGAGCATAAGTAATTAAAACACTCCAACTACTTAAAAAACACAGAAACTGTGTACAATTCACAGCTTGTGAGTTTGCTGGACAGTCTTTCACTGACACTGAACAGCAGAAGCCCCCTATTTCACTGCGATTGAAAAAAAATAATGTAAACTCTCTCTCTCTCTCTCTCTCTCTCTCTCTCTCTCTCTCTCTCTCTCTCTCTCTCTCTCTCTCTCTCTCTATCATGGATCAGCTGTGATCGCCGCTGCCGTTTATAAGTGTTGAAGCCAATCGCAGCCCTTTCTGTTGAGCACGTGACCAATCATAGGGGTGTAAGAACTCACTAGACAAGGCTCAGAAAGTGAGCAGTATATTCACATTTGTTTATTTGCTATAAATGGTCATGTTGTTCTGTGAATGTTCTTGAGTTTTTAAAGGTACAGTTCTGACTGCTTGTTTTATAGGACAAAACTGTATTACAAATAATATAATTATAAATATATTTATACATTTCTGTTGTGCTGTGAAGTAAAATATAAAATTTCAACAAACACAACGCGTCATTTACAGCTTTACAAATCCTGAAGTGCAGATTCACAAATCCTATTGGAAGAATCACAAATAAAGAAAGTCATCTGCTCATGTTCTTTGCTACTATTGCGGCAGTAAATGTGGTGCAAAACACATTCACACACCTGCAACCAAAAATGTGAAGTCACAGACAAAACTTGCACATCAATAGATTTGAATGTGTATCCACGAAAAGATTTGCATGCATTTAGATTGTTTTCTCTTTAAATATTTTCTTCCTGTAATTTTTTTCCAAAGCTCAAACACAATTACATAACTGCAACGGCTCAAATATGCCGCTTTGGGTCTCGAGTGATTTCACTTGCAAATCTACATTTTGAGCTCTCACTCTTTTGCCCCAACATCACTGTGATATTTGGTGCAAAAGTGACTTGTGTATCTGCAAACCCAAACATGAGCTTTAACTTATGTGTTACTGAAACACATTTGTGGCTATTCTTTACAACTACAAATTACCCTTTTACAGCTACTTGGTAGTTTTGCATCAAAAATACCTTCTTAAAAAACAGCATGAACAGTAAATGTGCAAATTCAAAATACTGATTGGCAACCAAAAACTGACAATGGTCTCAATCTCTCAAACAAATCTCTAGTATTTATCTTGCATTTATTATATTTCTGGACATAAAGCTTTTCATACATGTATGGATAGCTAATGAGTTGGAGTCTGTTAGACTAACTCAGTTGAAATAAACCCCTTCCCACAACAAAATAATGCAATGGCTGTTACTTCAACCCAAAATCAGAGTTGCCAACTCCAGTTATAATATAGAATTTAGGATTGCCTTGCTTGATTTTGTGCATATTAAAAGTGGTAAATATATGACACTTATGAGAAGTTGATGCTATAAGTAGTCTTTCACAACATATTTTGGTTGTACAAAAATACAAGGTGGCAAGCTTAGGTTCACTGCCAAACAGCAGCTCATTACCGGCTAAGATTTCAGCAATACATATGCACAAAAAAATAAATAAATAAAATAAATAAATAAAATAAAAAACTTGTTACAATTTTCAAAAACAAAATACTTAAACTACTTTACAAGTACAGCAAATATTGGTGTGTGAAAAAAAACTCTATCCCATAAAAACGACATGTCATCAAAATCAAGCATTTGTTGTACAAACATTAGTTGTGTTGTATATTTAATTGAATATTAAACAACATACAGTTGAAGTCAGAATTACTAGCCCCCCTAATCTATTAGCTCTTTATTTTTTTCCTCAATTTCTGTTTAATGGAGAGAAGATTTTTTTCAGCACATTACTAAACATATCAGTTTTAATAACTCATTTCTAATAACTGATTTATTTTATCTTTGCCATGATGACAGTAAATAATATTTGACCAGATATTTTTCAAGACACTTCTGTACAGCTTAGAGATATTTAAAGGCTTAACTGAGTTAATTAGGTTAACTAGGCAGGTTAGGGTAATTAGGCAAGTTATTGTATAACGATGGTTTGTTCTGTAAATTATCAAAAAAATATATTGCTTAAAGGGGCTAATAATTTTGTCCTTAAAATGGTTTTACAAAAATTAAAAACTACTTTTACTCAAGCCAAAATAAAACAAATAAGACCTTCTCCAGGAGAAAAAAATATTATCAGACATACTGTGAAAATTTCCTTGCTCAGTTAAACATCATTTGGGAAATATTTAAAAAAGAAAACAAAATTCAAAGAGGGGCTACTAATTCTGACTTAAACTGTATATGTTGATCTCTTATGTGTTAATTTTTAAAGAGTATGCGTGAATTTATAATAGGTTAGTATTAGAGCTGCACGATTGAGAAAATGAGAATCCAGATTTTTTTGCTTAAAATAAAGATTACGATTTTTTCACGATTCTGTAGATGTAAAATAAAGGTTAATATGAGTGAGCTATTATTATTGTTATTTCTCAAATGTACGGTAAAAAAAACTATATTAAAATGTAGGTCTACTGTTTATTCTCATGCACAACACTTTATGTTTGCTAAGAAAGAAAACATATCAAATGCTTGTCGTAGCCAAATCCTTACTCTATAATGCCATATGATTATTTAAATGATGTTCACGCTTTCAATTTTATTTTCACTGCTAAGTGCGGTTCATACTTACCGTGTGGCTCCCAAACAATCCCTCTGTTTTACAAACTGAACGTTATTTACAACTTTATTACGTGTTATTCACAGCCTATGCAGGATATGTTTACTAAAGTAGCCTTCAATCATAGGCGTGGCCCACCCTCTCTGTGGTAACAGCTCACAGTCAACAGCACGGGTCATGTGTGATTTTGCAGCCGCGAATACATCATTACATGAAGACAGCAATGACATTTTTGGGTGAATTATACCCTATAAATACAGTATGTGACACTTTTAACACTATTGGTGTCCACGTTTCTGAACAATGTATGTAAAACAATGTGAAGCCTTGTGCAGCCACCTTTTCTTCTCTCCTGAACTTGAAAATATGATTGGCAGAATCGTAAAAATGCTGGATTAAGATCGTTTAGGGGGTCGAATCGAGATTGCGATCTTTTTTCTTTTAATTGTGCAGATAGTATATATATACAATTGTTAGTATACATGTAAAAATGCACTAGCATATATAAATTTATAAGAACCAACAGGATGCATTTTAGTCAACCCAGATCATGTAAATTGGCAGTGGGCAGGATTGCAGAACCTATGTATGTATGCATGTATGCATACAACAGTTATCTGTTGAAAATCTGTTTATCTGTTTGAAATCTGATTGGCTGATAGCCATGCAATATTCTGCAAAATCAACACTCATACAGCTTCACTCTTCTGTACTCGTCCGCCCACATAGTGACAGCAGATCAATAAACTCTCTACAATTTGACAAATATTGCAGCTGTTGGACAACAAAATGTACTTTTGAGGCTTTTTAGGCGATATATTTATATATTTATGTTTTCGGAGATACAGAGTGTCAACATCAGGGTTCTTACACATTTTCCAACTACAAATTCCAGCACT